TTCTGGGTAACCACCCCCACCCCTGCACACCTCCCCATCCTCCACCCCCACCCTGTGTTGGGATCTGGGAGGCATCATTCGTGTGCTGAAAACTGGGGAATCCTAGGGGTGCTTGACGTGTGCCAGCCCAGGAGCCTGGGATTAAATTCTGTGTTTCCCCGGCTGGAACCACTTTCCTACTCTTTGCCAGGCAGAGATAAATAAGTCTTAGTACCCACGCCCTAAAATATGTGGATTCTTAAAGGGAGGGAGATGAGGAAGGAAAAGAGAACTTTAGCCTTAGGGGTACTCACCCATGAAGGGGCTGAAATTTCAATTCCTTGGGCAAGCATTCCACATCAGATTGGGAGAGTGAACCCCTTAAGGAGCACCCCTTGGGTACCGCTGGCTCTGTAGGACCCACACATGCCCAGAATGCATAGTACCCAGTGTGTCACCGAAACTTTAGTTGCGCTTTTCTGAAGTAATGCTTGAAATTGAGAACACCTTCTAATTTTTCGCTAACAATAAGGGTAAGGTGGTTGTTTCCCTATAAAACTCTGCCCGGAGGCCCAGGATGAGTGAATGCCACTTTAACTTTGTATTTATTTAAGATTTCTATAGTTCATAATATAGTATTTTTCCTTAGCGTTCTTGTTTACATGGCTGCCATAGAACTCTTGTACATGGCTCAAACATCCTTCAATTTATAATGAGGTTTGGCTGCCTCAGGGTCTGGGGTTGTCTGTCTCCTCTGTGAATTCCCTGCCCCCTCCCAGGGCTCGGTAAATATTTGCTGAATGAACGAACAGGGGAGTAAAGAGGCTGAGTTCCTAACAGTAAAATAGCCGTGAAGTTGGAAGGGATTTGTTGCTGCAGGTCTCGGGAACTGAACTGCCAGCATTATACCCTTGAGGCAATAATGGCTAAGCTCCTCTCTTTCTTGCTGTTCAAGCATATATTTAATAATTCAAAAAGCCAAGCTCTCCACGGTTTGGGTTCAGTTGTGCGTACATCCAGCCTGTCCCCACAGTGGCCCGGCGTTCCTTCCTGGCTGGGCCGCTCTGAGTCTGCCCTGCCTGTGACCTACACCCCACGGTGATCCCCAGGGTCCTGCAGCCACACTGCCGGGTCCGCTCCGTCCTGAATCTTCAAACCAATGCCTAGGGGCCAGTGGCCACAAACTGTTCACAAAACCAAACAGAGCAAGGTTTCACATTGCCTTCGCTATTTTCTTCTGTTCTCTGTTTTGGAGCTTTTTATTTGTTTTAATTTTTATTAGTGCATGTTTGCAGTAGATAGATGAGCACATCCACTGTAGGAACTGGGACTTGTAGATAATAAATCTTAATTCTTTTTACATCCCTTTTTCCTCCTCTCCTTCCCTGCTCCCTCCTCCTCTTAGTCCCCTTCCCATTTGCAAAAAAAAAATCTGCCTTCTTATTTTCTATTATTTTGCTCTTTAATTTATTTAGACTTGGGTTTCTCATATAAGAGAAGCCATGCAATATTTATACTTTGTGTGTCTGGTTTATTTCACTTAACATTGTGGTCTCAAGGTGTTGTCTCCATCCTTTTTCTTCTTTCTGTCACCCTTTCTCTTTTTCTTGCTCACCTCTGTGGTTCTTACCTTTTCTGTGAGCCGAGCTGTCTCCATCTTCTGTCTTCTTTCTGGCCCTAACCTGGACGGAGAGCCAGCACCTGTTTGTACAGAAGGGCACGAGTGAGTGCCCACTGAACCGGCGCAGCGCGGGTCAGGAGCTCTGTTTGGGTGGATGCTGGTTTAGGTGTCCCGGGGATGAGGATCAAGAACCTCTGCCTGCCCTTCTGGGGGTGAGAAAGTTAACACAATGCGTTGGAGAGAGCCCCAGCCCACACCTTGATTCTCCCAACCCCACTGGAGTCATGGTCCCGCACGCCCTGACTCTATGCCTCCTCATCCCCCTCTCCCTGCCTGGAGGGCAAGCAGTTTGCTTCTCCTGTCATCAGGCCTGTCGCAGGCCTGCCACATAAGGACCCAATAAATGTCTGCGCTTAGCCGCAGTATAACTGCGGAGCACACCCTGGGGCAGGGGAGCCCGCCCAATGTGGAGGTCAGGCCGAGCTCCCTCGAGAGGCCCACCTAGGCTGAATCTTACAGGATGAATGGGAGTTGGGTGAAGAGGGTGGGGAGGAGTGGAGTGGACAAGAAAGCATTCTGGACAGAGGGAATGTTGGATGGATGGATGGACAGATGGGCTGACCGGACTGGTATGGAAATCTAAATTTAATGGCGCAAGAGTAAAGAATATTCGGACTGGCACTAGGAAAAAGATGGCCGACTCTGGGGTGTCTCGTTACAGTGCATGGTGCGTGGTGATGGCAGGAGATGTCTTCATTGCCTTAGTGGCCTTGTGTTACCAGGAATCACACGCACTCCCAGGAAGAGGGTAGCACGAAGACATCAGTCTTCTCTGCCAGGGCTGGGGGACTCTGGAATTAAGGTAAAGCCCCCAGATCTGTGTCACAGGCCCTCAAGCATCTCACCCGAGGCTCTTTTCCCCCCTCAGATGAGCGCGAAGTTGTGCAGAAGAAGACCTTCACGAAATGGGTCAACTCCCACCTGGCTCGTGTGTCCTGCCGCATCAGCGATCTCTACAAGGACCTGAGGGACGGGCGGATGCTCATCAAGCTGCTGGAGGTGCTCTCAGGAGAGATGCTGGTAAAGCCCTTCCCTGTGCTGGGCCCATGCCTGGGTCTGAGCTCGTGCCATCCTCCAGGAAAGACACGGTCGGGGCGATCTGCAGTTCCCATGTCCCGCCGGGGTTTCTGGGGAGGTCCAGTAGTTGCAGTATCTAGTTCCCACATGGCTACGAGGTCTCTGACCTCTTTCTCAGAACTTCCCACCCCTTGTGACCGAGATTCCCACCCCTTTGTGCTTCTCCATAGCCATTTAGAGCACTGTCCTCACGGGGGCCTCGGCCTCTGGAGCAGCCTGGACCTCAAGCTCTCACAGGGGCTGGGATGTATGAGTTTGGAGGAGGTTGGTGTCTCTTGGAGTCAAGAGAGAAGTGTGGAAGATACGTGCTGCGTGTTTTACCATGTGTGTGAGCAGAGCTCTGTTAGAGGCCCTCCCACTTGTACTTCCTGGCAGTGTGGTTGCTCCTGAAGAGGGAGTAGGTAGCAGTACCTTTTTGCTCAGTTATTTCCTTGGTGACCTGGAGCCTCTCAAGCAGGACTCTTTGCCCCCATTTCCTCCATGCGGAGAATGAAGGCAAGGATACCTGTGCCTGATGAAGTACTCTGGGCTCCTCCAGTTTGAATGGAAAGGTACCACGTTTGCCTTTGCAATTCCAGGCTGACGTTCTGCCTCTTGTCACCCTGAGTCAAAGCTCCGTGTGAGTGGGTTAGCCTGGCATAGTTTCAGATGGTTCAGTTAATTAACATCTATGATGATTTCCCAGGGTTCCGATTAGTGGACATTCCAGGGGGCAGGAGACTGATGGGCGGGGATGGGTCCTTTACTAGTCACTAAGTTATTCTTATCGTCCATGTGCAGTAAGTGGTTCTGACCAGGTACGTAGTAAGTGCTCAGTTAGCTGCCCGTCGTGTTGTTGCACATCTGAGTGCTGAAGCAGGAACCTCTGAACTTTGCTGAAGGAAGGTGTGGGAAGTGTGTGGAGTTACGGTGGAACTTGGAGCTTGGCCAGGAAAGTGGGGGTTGGGTGGGATGTGGTCCAGGCGGCAGCCACCTCTGGGCTGACTTTGTAGCCCCTACATGCCCGTGAGGGCCACTGCTGTCCCCCAGCCAAGGCCCACCAAGGGGAAGATGCGCATCCACTGCCTGGAGAATGTGGACAAGGCCCTGCAGTTCCTCAAGGAGCAGCGTGTGCACCTGGAGAACATGGGCTCCCACGACATTGTGGATGGCAACCACCGCCTGGTCCTGGGCCTCATTTGGACCATCATCCTCCGCTTCCAGGTGGGTCCCAGCAGCCTCTGGGAGCTGAGAGAACTCGGAAACGTCTAAAATGGCAAATGGAGCACGTTTGTTCTCGTCGTGGGAGGACAGTGCTTGTCAGAAGGAAACCCCACCTTCTGTGTGTGTCCCCCACCCCGGTGCTGATGGTTGGGGCGGCTTCCAAATCATAGTCTTCTGAGGGAGGAGATAGAGGTTAAGTAGTAGCTAGCTGGGTTTCAGTCAGCTGGAAGATCTGCTTTTTATACCCTTTTATCTGCTTGTGTGTGTAACTTCTTGTTTTTTTTAAAGAATTTGACTCAAAAATAGTGCAGAAAATCTGCTTTTAATCAGACACCTTTCTCATCCTGAAATTCAAGACCCAGGTAATTGGTAAGGAAATTTAGAAAGGATGAGGAAAGGAAAACAGGGCCTCACACCTGCCGGCTTGGGGATAAGAGGGGCATAGCCCAAGGAGGTGAGGGAAAGGAGGAAGAACACAGCGTGACAGCCCACAGACCAAAGGCCCGTCCAGCAGTCCTGGATGTCTGGTCTCACTCCCAATGAGGGCAGAGGGTTAAACAGGAACAGCAGCACTAGGGCCAGGCATGGTGGCAAACACCTGTATTCTCAGCACCCCGGGAGGCCGGTACAGGAGGTTTGCAAGTTCCGGCCTGTCTTACTTTTCTCATTGCTGAGACAAAATACCCAACACCCCAAAGCTAAAGGAGGAAAAGTTTATTCGGCTCAGTTTGTAGGGATTTCAGTTCATAGTTGGCTGGTTCCAGGATGGCGTTGCAGACAGGCATCACAGAGGAGAAACTGTTCATGGTGGGCAGAAGGTAGCAAAGCAAGCAAGGGAGTAGACAAGCCTCTTTCTGTCCCTTATATGGTACCCAGGCTACCAGGACTGGGGAAGTACCAAACCAATCAGAGTACTGATTTAGTAATCACTCACCCTTAATCCCAGCATTGTACCACGAATCAGTCACACACACTCTGGATTCAGCCGTCTCTGAAAAACCCCATCTATAACTGCTTGAGGTCTGGGGGTCCACAAACCGTAAGATGGCCCAGCCTAGGCAATTGAGTGACTTATCGAGGACCCGGTCTCAAAGTTTTATAAAGGTCTGGGGATGAGTGCAGTGTAAAGGCTGCATTCAGTCCCCAGTTCTGCAAAAACAAAACCAAACAGCACCAACAAAAACCCAGCAGAACTGAGAAGAACGTAAAGGCAAGGAAAGCTGTTAATAAAAAATTATACCATCTAATATTCTTATTGTTCTACCACCTCGTGGGGCATTGTAACCTCAGAGGAGGAATCTGGGCGTCTTTTCATGCATTCTCAGCTTCCTGTTAGAGTGGTCTGAGGAAAGCTGTGTCCTCTGCAATGAGGAAACATCCTGTGCCCTGATAGATGTCTTAGCTGCTTTTCTCTCGTTGCTGAGACAAAGTATCTGACACCCACAGTTAAAGGGGGAGAGGTTTAATTGGCTCACAGTCCGTACAGGTTTCAGTGCATAGGTGGCTGACTCCACGGCAAGTCGGTGCACAGCTGCTTCACTTCTCTTTCCTGACCCCTCAGATTCAGGACATTGTTGTCCAAACTCAGGAGGGCCGTGAGACACGCTCAGCCAAGGACGCGCTGCTGTTGTGGTGCCAGATGAAGACAGCGGGGTGCGTATGCCTGGGAAATCGGCCATTGCCTTGGTCCCCATCAGCCCCTCACTCCGCCCAGGGGCTGCCGTCCCCAGGAGACACCTGACATCCTCACCAAGAGCTGTAGACACACTTCAGTGTAACTGATGCAAGTCAGTCCTGACCTGACTCTTTGAGACTGGGATTTGCAGGATTCTTTTCCAGAGTTGCCGAGTCCAACTGTGGGGCCTGTGGGTTGCATGGGCCACAGCTTGTGAGAGTGTCACTGTGTGCTTCCCTGCGCCCCTTGTGTTGAGGCAGCTCAAGAAGGCACAGGTCTACTTTTCTCCTGACATACTGGCCCTCACTCAGGTCACACACTAGCTTGTGACTGCAAAAGGATCTACTTCTTAGGTCTTGATGTTTCTCTTGGATGTAGCTACCCCCATGTCAACGTCACCAACTTCACCTCCAGCTGGAAGGATGGCCTGGCCTTTAACGCCCTGATACACAAGCACCGGTAAGAGGAAGGAGAGCCCCCTGCTGCTGGAGTGAGGACATGTCATGGGAACGTCACCTCTGCCATTTCTTCCGCCCTTGGCCTCCCCTAATGCCTGTGCTTCCTTCACCTTCAGTCACACCTCTTGCCCCTTCCTCACCAGCTGTGCTCTAGCTACCTGCTCTTCTCAGCTCCTGTCTGCCATTTCTCCTGCAGTCCACCTCCCAGTGTCCTTGCTTCACTGGGGCTGCCCTGTAAGTGGGGCTACCACAGCCACTCTGTTCTAACAGCCCGGCTTTGTCCCCAGGCCTGACCTCATCGACTTTGACAAGTTGAAGGACTCCAATGCCCGGCACAACCTGGAGCATGCATTTGACGTAGCCGAGCGCCAGCTGGGCATCATCCCGCTCCTTGACCCTGAAGGTGGGCTGCACCCCTCGCCACCCTGGAGGGAGCTGGGCAGGTGGGGCTCCTAGAGCTTGGTCCAGGGGCTCTGTGCTGGGCCTGCTCCTCCACTCCGTGTGGACTTGCCGGCCTTGCCTGGCCGGTGTGACAGTCCCTAGAGTCTTGGGATCCCTTCTTTCTGCTTTTGCAATTTAGATGGGGATTTCATCACCTGTTAAAATGGCAGACCTTCTGCTCCCCTGTTCTTGTCCCGGTGCTCGTCACGTGGTGCCTGTCGTTGAGCTTCCTGCTGCAGGAACAGGGCTAAGCCCTTGGAGCGTGACTTCTCTTGCTTCGACTGGTGCTGAGAATATACCTTTCCCCCTTACAGATGTCTTCACAGAAAACCCTGATGAGAAATCCATCATCACCTATGTGGTGGCGTTTTACCACTACTTCTCCAAGATGAAGGTGCTGGCGGTGGAGGGCAAGCGCGTTGGCAAGGTACAGAGCTGTTTCATCAGCCCAACATCACCTTTGCCCTGTCCACACCATCAGCCCTTGACTGAGAGGTCCCTCACTGTCCTAGGAGCCTCAGGTCTAGGCCCTCAGCTACATGAAGGGTGCAGAGCACCTACCCCCACCTTCCTTTAAAGCTCCCATGCTGACTCTGAAGCAGGTCCATGTCTGCCCTACCAGGGGCTGTGGCCTGCAACTCTGGTCTCTCTTCTGCCTGGAAACCCGTGTCACCATCCTCCCTGCAAGAGCCACTCAGGGGCCTCATTTGCTGCCTTATTTGTGGCTCTAGACCTCTCAGGCTCTTGCCACTGTGTACCAGTAACCCACCCCTCTGTAGTGAGCCTCCTGCCCGACTGCTTTTCCCCACTGGGTCGTTAGCTCTTCAGGGGTAGGGACCACTTTTCATCAGCTTTGTGTGCATGGCACACAGCAAAGACGGTGTCTGGCAGCCTGCCGTTCCTAGTGAACACTTTAAAGTAAATGAAAACCCTCGTGCCTCTAGGGGGGTCCTAGTGTAGCAAACTTATAAATAAAAGTGTTCAGGGAAGGGGGCAGCTGCTCCTGAATCCCAGCCTGGGATGCAGGTCTAGTTCCTTGCTAACTGTACTAGTGCAAGAGGAGTGTTTCACCCACTTTCAGGCCACCTCTCCTGCCTTAGCAACAGTCAGTGACTCAGACAAACCCAGCCTAGAACACTCCATCTAGGGTCTGAGAAATGGGAGCCCCATTGCAGGGCACCTCAACTGTAGTCCTCAGGGGTGGCCCACTTGGCGGCATCGCCCTTATGATAAGAGTGAGTAACGGGGAGATCCCTTAGGTCATTGACCATGCCATTGAGACTGAGAAGATGATTGAAAAGTACAGTGGGCTAGCCTCGGACCTGCTCACCTGGATCGAGCAGACCATCGTCGTCCTGAACAGCCGCAAGTTCGCCAACTCACTGGCCGGTGTCCAGCAGCAGCTGCAGGCCTTCAGCACCTACCGTACCGTGGAGAAGCCACCTAAGTAAGGGCCCTGGCACTTGGGAGGGTGGTCATCAGGGCCAAGAAACCTTCTGCCCTCCTGAGCTCTGGGCCTTGTGAAGAGTCCGCAAGGCTCTCCTGAGGGCTGGAGAGCTCTCCATCTGCCGCGTGCTTCATGCCCCCAGGCCACCAGCTGGTCGGAAACAGGCATTGATTAAAACCCTGAGTCATAGCCGGCCCTCCCAGGACTAGGACGGGAGTGTGAGTCTTCTCAGTGTCTCTCATCTGTGCCCTCAGCGGCGGGGTTTTTTTCTGGTGTTGACCTCTGTATCCACAGCCCCAGAGCTCTGTGGAAGCCTTGTGATCATCAGGCACATGTGTCTTTCTCTCTCCTATCTGTCACTGCTCATGAGCGGAGCGCTCAGCCTGCTTCTTGAGCCTCTGCACCACCTCATCCTGTGCAATCATGCAGGCACATAGGTGAGTGCGCATATAACTGTGTGCACGTGTGTGTTCCCATACAGTCACACACAAGTGACAATGAGAACACGCAGTACACCTGTGGCTACACACATGCATCGGCGTGGACATACAGTTACGCAGGCACACACACGTCCAGCCATGCAGACACAGTGCACACATACGATTAAGTAGACAAAGCCACGCACACACATACGTGCCTGTGTTCACAAATGTACGCGCGCACACACACACACCCGGGGGTATTCCAGCTTCTCTGCCGTTAGCCTGTCCTGATGTCCCACAAGAGACTGAAGTTCATCGGTGGCATCCTCGGCCTAGTTCCGCCCCTCATCCCACACACTGTCCATTCCAGACTAAAGTGAGGAAAGGCGAGACTCCGAGACTAGGGTGTACTATAAACAAGTATCTGGTTTCCAGTTGGACACTAACCTACTTTTAAAGTCCTGAATTCAATACGGATTCCGTCCCCTGTGCATGTGTCAGGCTTTGTACACAGAGCCATTACCTCTCGGCTGTGTAGTCAGGACAGGGCCTCCGCCCACTCGAGCACCCACGAGAACTGATGTCTGTTTGGCTGGGCTTGCAGTGCAGACCTCGCTTATAACGGATCCTCAGTTGCCAAGTCGAGGATGTAGAAGTGGGTACAAATGTGAAAGCACCAGTCACCTGCAGCTCCGACCCCACTTGGCAGACACCCGTCCTGCTGCCTGGTCATATCCGCTGTGCCTGTAGACCTCCCTGGCCCAGCCTTTCCCGGTCCCTGGAAACACCTGGCCCACAGAGCTTGCCTAGCTCATCAGGACTGGGGTGAAGATTGCTTTCGGGGCAGTGTACGTCTGGAAGACAGTGCTGCTTCTAAGGCTTTATTGACTGTCTCAATTAAAAAAAGAAAAAGAAAAAGAAACCATCTAAAGAGCTAGGCAGAAGCTTTTATCATTTGCAGAACAGAGAGGAGTCTGTTTGTATTGATTGGTGAAACCTGCTGTTTACAGGAGTTACCAGAGTACTCCTGTGAGCTATTCCCCCAGGGAAGCAAATGGTAGATGCTGTGGTAGCTGTGATTTATATCCTAAAGACCCAAGCCTCTAGTTGTTCTCTGTGGGGAAGAATAAAAGACATTGTGACAAGCAGAGACCTATGGTTTCTCTTTACTCTTGATGATTTTAAAGAAAATATGTTTTGACCTCCAAGATCTAAGATATCAGGTCCCACATCGACTTCAGCAAGGAATTTGGCCATGGGGATTGTGACACCAGTCTCTCTACTTCTGTTTGTTCCACAGGTTTCAGGAGAAGGGGAATCTGGAAGTCCTACTTTTTACCATCCAGTCCCGGATGCGAGCCAATAATCAGAAAGTGTACATACCACACGACGGGAAACTGGTGTCCGACATCAACCGGGTATGGTGGTGTTTTGCATTGCATGTCGCCGGTGGGTTGATGGAGCTCCCGATGTAGCCATGGGGTGTGTCCACTGGCCACTTTCTTTGGTGTTATTAATTACAAGCTGGCTATTCCTGCGTTTATCTAAATGCCATTCTGAGAGGTCAGTCTCCACCTGCTGTCCTTCAGTTCAACGCCCCCACCCCGGTTCAGATGCTGCGCTCATTATTCAGGGCCTGTTTCACTGTGTGTCCTCTGTAGGACCTTGAGTTTGTCCTTGAATCTGGAATATTACCACAGAAGGGAAGTGCCTTGTGACACTTCTGAGGTTTGGGGGCTTAACTTCAGCTGGAAGTTCTGCTAGGACAGAGGTAGGTGTTAAGTCAGTAAGAAGTTTCTGAGCAGCCAGGGAGTGAGAAACAGTATATAAGGCCGAGAGTACAAGGCAAGTTTAGCAGAAGAGGGAACCCAGAGGTCATGACCTGTGCTCCCTGGCCCTTTGGCCCCGCCATGAAACCAAAAGGCTGTTACTGAGCACTGATCTGCCAACTCCCGTCCCATGAGCCTCGGGCTGTGCCTCCATTCCTGAAGTTGCTCAGTGTCCCAAGCTGAGGTGTTTCCCACGTGGCCTGGGAATTTCCCTTCTGCTCCGTGCAGGCCTGGGAGAGCCTGGAGGAGGCTGAGTACCAGCGGGAGCTGGCCCTGAGGAGCGAGCTCATCCGCCAGGAGAAGCTGGAGCAGCTGGCCCGGCGCTTTGACAGGAAGGCCGCCATGAGAGAGACGTGGCTCAGTGAGAACCAGCGCCTTGTGACACAGGTAACGGGGACACACCTGAGGATGGCAGGAGAGCCCCTCAGTCTCAGCTGGGCAGGAACCCAAGCTAGTGTCTCAGCAGCAGCCAGTCAACATTTCCTCCTTGCTGCCCAGTTCCCTGTGATTGCTCAGATCTTCTTCTCTAGGGAGAACTCTCTGGGATTTATTAAGTCTGTCGTTTTGGTACTGGGGATTGAATCCAGGGCCTCACGTATGCCGCTGAGCTATCCCAGCCCATACTGCCTCATTTTTAGAAAAGAGTCTGCCAGTCCAGAACCGCCCCCTGAAATTGTCCCGTTTGGGCCACTAGCATCAGTAAAAGTGGGAGGCAGAGGTGGCATTCAATGATGGTTCTCTGGGAAGAGGGTGAAGTCAGAGCATGCTGTCTTTTTTACTCCGGCCTCCAGTCCTGGGACATATTTCACTAAGAACAGACCAGGGGCTGATTCTTCATCAGAGCATCTGTTCCCTCCTACTTAGAGCTTAGAATCAAATTAAATTCAGTCCAGAAAGGGAATAGAGAGAGTCCTGAGATCATTAGAGAGGGTACGTATACCCCAGATAGTGTGTGGGTGGGCCATCTGCTGTGGCCGCATGGCTTCTAGGTACAAGCAGGCCCTGCCCCCAGAACCAGACAGGTCTGCCGAGGCAAGGGGAGCCCCATGGACCATCAGAGAGCTCTGACAGTAATAACAGAGTTCAGCGTGAGGGAAGGAAGGAAGGGACATAAAAGGAATTAAGATGTGTTCAGTACATGTACCACTTCCCCCTTGATGAATGTAATTATCATTTACTGCAAACATGTACTATAAAATTTTTTTTAAGAAACAATCTTTGGACACAGTGTTGCCAGTCTGTGTGGCAGAGGGAGAAAAATCAGGCTGCTCTTAGAGGTTCTTATGAGAGAGTTTTTGAACCTTGGCTCTGATAAGAGAAGCTGCTGAAAGACAGCAGAACCAACTCTTTCATGAGGATGAGCTTTCCTGGCCCCAGTTTCTCTGCATTGGGGAGGAGCTTGGGGCATTCAGCTGAGCTGCTGGCCTTTCCCCCTGGGACAGGACAATTTCGGATATGACCTGGCAGCTGTGGAGGCCGCCAAGAAGAAGCACGAGGCCATCGAGACAGACACTGCTGCCTACGAGGAGCGGGTGAAGGCCCTGGAGGACCTGGCCCAGGAGCTGGAGAGGGAAAACTACCATGACCAGAAGCGCATCATGGCCCGCAAGGACAACATCCTGCGCCTGTGGAGCTACCTGCAGGAGCTGCTGCGGTCCCGGCGCCAGAGGCTCGAGACTACCCTGGAGCTGCAAAAGCTCTTCCAGGACATGCTGCACAGCATCGACTGGATGGACGAGATCAAGGTGGGCCGGGGTGCTGAGCGCCCGTCGTGCTCACATCTGTGTCCTGAGACCCTTCCCACCAGCCATGTCCCTGAGCCATCGTGGAGAAACCGAGTCAGTGTGGTGCCTGACTGCGACTGCCGCTCTGCCCTCGGCTCACTCACCCGTCCAGCAAATATCACCATCCCAAGCCCAGAGAATCCCAGTGACTCATGGTCATACGGGGCCAACATGCAGGGTCTCGGAGAGGCGGACATTAGTCAGGAGCCTGGAGAATCGGGCTCTAAGTAATTACAGTTTCACACTGATTGGCATCCAGACCTCTCAGCACAGGGCAACCAAACACATCTGAAACACACTCCGTCTACCACAGTGGTCTCAACCGAAGATGCACTTCAGCCTGACCATGCAGCCCTCTGAGAATGCACATGCCCAGGCCCCAAGCCTTGAGGCAGACGTAGTAGAAGAGCACAGGGCTTGAGCCCGAAGGCACTCCCTGGGGGATTCCAATGGGCACCCCTGGTAGGAGCCCTTGCTCTGAAGCTGCTTCCTCCTAAGCTGCAGCCCGGCTCCCTTACCTCCCGGGGAGGGGTCCCTTCTCCCGGCTCCTCTTTATCCCTGTCTTGTGTCTTTTGCTAGGCGCACCTCTTGTCTGCTGAGTTTGGGAAGCACCTGTTGGAGGCTGAGGACTTGCTCCAGAAACACAAGCTGATGGAAGCTGACATCGCCATTCAAGGGGACAAAGTGAAGGCCATCACTGCGGCCACCCTGCCGTTCATCGAGAGCACAGGTGAGGCCCAGGATGGCTCCTCTGTCCAGGCCTCTGATGCCAGCACCCCTCCTGGGACACATCCCCTGAAGCTGCCTTTAGGGTTCTGTCCTTTTATGTATGTATGTATATATGTATGTATGTACGTATGTATGTATGTTTATTTGGTTGGTGGTTGTTTTGTTTTGTTTTTCGGTACCGGGGATCAAACTCAGGACCTTTCACTTGCAAGGCAGGCGGTGGCACCACTGAGCTAAATCCCAGGCCCTCTGCTCCTGTTATTAATCAAGGAATGGTGCACCAAGCATGAGGGATGGCAAAGCTCTGCAGAGAATAGGCAGCTGCTTTGGTGATCTGCAGTAAGAGAGGTGTTTGTAAGCACCAGTAAAACATCATCTATCTCTCATTCTGTTTGCTGGTTCAGGTTGGGCTGAGACAATTTAAGTTTCTGGTTTCTGATCTTAAATAGGAGACCTCACTAAATTTCTATCTGAAGTTCTAAAAAACAATGTCATGTCGTGCATTTCTACTGAGAGTTGACTCTACCTTTAATCTCCCTTATTCCTGAAGTTTAGGGAGAACCAATTATAAAGAATCTGGCCTGTCCCCTGAGTAACTGGGGTCCCTGTATCCCACCCCAAGCCCCAGGGAGATGGCAGCTTTGAGACTATGATCCTAACCTGGCAGCGGCTCTGAAACTTGCCCGTAAACGAAGCCTTTCCTGTTCTGTATCCTCCATCTTTCTCTTCTTCCAGGGTACCAGCCTTGCGACCCCCAGGTCATCCAGGACCGAGTCAGCCACCTGCAGCAGTGCTTTGGGGAGCTGAGTGACATGGCAGCCGGGCGGAAGGCCCAGCTGGAGCAGTCAAAGCGGCTCTGGAAGTTCTTCTGGGAGATGGATGAGGCCGAGAGCTGGATCAAGGAGAAGGAGCAGATCTACTCCTCCTTGGACTATGGCAAGGACCTGACCAGTGTGCTCATCCTGCAGCGCAAGCACAAGGCTTTTGAAGATGAGCTCCGAGGGCTGGATGCCCACCTGGAGCAGATCTTCCAGGAGGCTGAGGGCATGGTCGCGCGCAAGCAGTTTGGACACCCGCAGATCGAGGCCCGCGTCAAGGAGGTGTTGGCCCAGTGGGAACAGCTGAAGGAGCTGGCTGCCTTTCGCAAGAAGAACCTCCAAGACGCGGAGAACTTCTTCCAGTTCCAGGGTGATGCGGATGACCTGAAGGCCTGGCTACAAGATGCCCACCGGCTGCTCTCTGGTGAAGATGTGGGGCAGGATGAAGGGGCCACACGGGCCCTGGAGAAGAAGCACCGGGACTTTCTGGAGGAGCTGGAGGAAAGCCATGGAGTGATGGAGCACTTGGAGCACCAGGCCCAGGGCTTCCCTGAAGCGTTCCGGGATTCCCCAGATGTGACCAGTCGGCTGCAGGCCCTCCGAGAGCTCTACCAGCAGGTGGTGGCCCAGGCGGACTTGCGTCGACAGAGGCTGCAGGAAGCCCTGGACTTGTACACGGTGTTTGGGGAGTCGGACGCCTGCCAGCTGTGGATGAGGGAGAAGGAGAAGTGGCTGGCCCAAATGGACATCCCGGACACCCTGGAGGACCTGGACGTCGTGCAGCACAGGTCAGAGTGCCTCGGCCTCTCCTTCCCTCCCCACCCAGGTCTGAGTCCCGCCTCCCACCACTAGCCCAGCAGGGGTCTCTCTGAGAGGCTACGGGATGACCTTTGTTGCAAAATCCAGGCATCAGGAGCCGTGACTTCTTTTCTGGCTCTGTGGCCTTGAGTACTTCACCCGCACAGGTCTTGGGTTCCTCACATGTAAGGGATTTTCTGATCCAATTACTGAGTTGTTTCTTCTCAGCTGCAGCAGCCTGTGCTCAGTGAGTTCTATGTAGACCCCCATGCAGCACAGGGGGAAGGTAGTGCTGCCGTGGATGTGATGGGGGTGAGAGGCCAGAGCACCACCACCTGTAGTTTTCTGTTTTCTATGGCTGTCCCTAAGCCTCAGGGGCACAGAGGCCAGTTTGTAAACCACCAGTCTCCAAGGCCACCCTGACTTGCAGTGTTCTGATTCCATCAGCACCTGACGGAAAGGTGTGCTCAGGCCATGCAGAGCCCAGGGACCAAGGAGGAGGAGAGGAGCAGCGTCCAGCTGGTCCCAGCCCTCTGCTTGACACTGGGTCCTGGACTCTTACTCAGGAAGGGTCAGCCTTCATAGCCACATAACCTGTGCAGCTCTTCCTTACCCTACCCAGGAATGGAGCACCTGGCTGGGGGACCAGGTATCGGGACAGTGGAATGAGGGTCTAGGAGCAGCAGCTGGGAGGGACAGTGAGAGCATGGCAGGTGGTCTTTATCTGCACAGGTAAACCTCACTTCCTTCGTCCTTCCTGGTGGAGCCAGAAGCCCGAGTCGTCAATAACAACTGTCTCCTGACCCAGCCCAGCAAATGCTAAAATATGGTGGTGGAACCAAGCCAGAAAATAGGGTGTGCGGGCATATCTGCCCCTGGACAAATGCATTCGGGAGTGGAAGGAGAAAGCAGAGCTCAGGAGATGTTTGACGATCAGGGCCACTGGCGATGAATGTCCGCTGCTGTGTCACTGCTGTCGTTCTCTCTGTCTGTATCAGGTTTGACATCCTTGACCAGGAGATGAAGAATTTGAAGGCTCAGATTGACGGTGTGAACCTCGCTGCCAGCAACCTGATGGAGAGCGGCCACCCCCGCAGCAGAGAGGTGAAGAAGTACCAGGACGGCCTGAATACCAGGTGGGGTGTGCGTGCGGCTTGAGGCTGGGGAGATTTTCTCCCAGCACCCCACATTCAGGCCACCTGCTCTGCACTGCGGTGTTCTCACCCCCAGTGCTCCAGTCTTTCTCAGCCACAGTCTTATTCCTAGTACTGGGGCTGTAGCAGCAAGCAAGAGAGTCTGTGCAGGGAACGGCAGGGTTAACGCCCAGGAGGGGAGATGTGTTCTGAGTGTCAGATCCGTGTCTGGGGAGCAGAGGTTTGCACACGTGCCTCTTCAGGGGCGTACTGAGTGTGCCTGTGGTTAGACCAGGCTGCGGGCTACTCAGTCTGTATTTCCCTGGATGGTCTCGGGCAAGGGAAATTGCTTTCTGAGAGCTTTTAAGTACTATCCATAAAAGAATGCTCCCGCCTGTGCCAAAATGCAACATGGATAATAAGTTGGCTTGGCTTGAATGAAGAAGAAAATTAACAGAGCGCCTTGAGCAAGCTTCATGGTCAGAACAAAACACAGGCCCTGAGAAGCCTTTCCAGGGTGGCTGCTTTCAGTACAGGGCGTAATTGCCCATTAGCTCCTGGAGGATCTTTGAGGACAGAGCCGCATCCCTTTTCTGCCCTGGGCCCCACAAAGTGCCGTGTGCTCGCCACTTCCTTGTTGCTCTGCCCCTTCTCCATGCTGGGGCCTCAGCCTTGCTCTGCCCAAGGCAGTCTGGGAGTGGGCTTAGGGAAGACTGCAAAAGGGATGGACCAGCACAGTGCAGACTCCACGGGGGCCCAAGAGGAGCCAGGGTGAGGAGGGCCCTTCAGAGCTACTACAGTGGGACCAGTTACCTCAGTACCCAAGAATGGGAGCTGTAGTGCAGGTATAGTGCAGGGAATGCAATCTGATGTCATACCGAGGAGTCAGGAGGAGGTGCCTCTTCACCCTTCTTTACGTTGGTAGGTAAATTGTGTGTGTGTGTGAGAGAGAGAGAAAGAGAGAGAGAGAGACAGAGAGACAGAGATGCAGAGAGAGAGGCAGAGAAACAAAGACAGAGAGGGTTGTTGCAGCTATAATTTGAGGAAATTAGACCAGTCTAAAGCAGAGAAACTCCCAGACAGGAAGAACTTGTCAGCTGTGCAGGAAGCTGTAGTCAGAGAGTATCAGTTCTTACAGACCCCTCAACCATGCCCCATCCCAAGGGAAAAAACAGCAAGGTACCTGCTATTCTCAGGTGGGAAAAACCAGAGGAGAAATGGAGACATGGTTTTCTGCCAAGTCTGAGAGGCGAGACCTCTGCCCACCAGAATGGGGCACCCTCACCATGCCGCCCACCCCACTGTGGAGCAACTCCTTTTGGTTAGAACATGTGGTCTCACGCGAGTGGAATTCTGTCCCCTTCAAGTCTGTACACACTTGTTCTGGCTCTGCTCCTTAGAGACAGCAAAACTTATCCTGACTCATGTGTAGCTCTTCGAAAGTGTCATTCCACATCTCCATCCCAGCCCTCCCTCCCTGCCTCCATTTTTCCCTGCCATGTGCTTACTTCTTCTCTCACTAATATACTCCAAATCCTGCCCCTCCTTTCAGCGGGGCCGGGAGGGGCCCTTTCTTCTTTGTTTCCCGGATGAAAAATTTCTTTGTGCTTCTCACCACTTGGTGGAAGATAGATGCCCCTAGTCCTCTCTGTCCACTCGAGTGACCGCAAAGACGTTACTCTGTTCTTTGCAAAATCCCCAGTGCCCAAGTCAGCACCTAGCACAAGGCATGTGATAATTGCACCACAGATGTTTAGTGAATGACCAGGGACAAAGCTGAAATGTTTCTGCCAGCTTAGCACGAGTCACCCAAATGCTTGTTGAATGTGTGATCATCCTTCATGGCGTGCGTTCTAGTTAGCTGACATTTTTCTAAAAATCCTGGGCCCAGGACCAAAGTGGACGCCATGTGTTGCCTAATGGTGCTAACTGGAGTGACTGTGCCACCTTCCTCCTTCTCAGGGATGGCACAGTATATGAGGAAACTGTGGGGCTGGAGGGCAGAACAGACCCACATGCAAGTCTGTCCCCTGTGTGGCCTTTCCGTAGGAAGAGCCTGGAAAATCACCACTGGGCTTCTTGCCTTGTGCACAGCCAGGCCCTCTTGCAGGAGAACTTCAGTGTACGTTCTTGAGTATTTCAGACCAACCGAGTTTCTTCACTAGGTCTTTCTGAGACCAGCCTCAGAACAGTGTCTGTACACCAGGCACAGAGTTCCTAAAGTGCAAGGACTTCACAGTCCAGGAGAGAAGCCAGGAAGGCTGCAGGCTCCCTCTCTATGTCTCCTGGTCTTCTGGCACCTCCCACCCCTCCCTGCAGACCCGTCTTTCAGAGAAGACTAGCTGCTCCTATTCACCCTGGGAAGGCCACAGCATACCCAGCCTGGTCTTGATGAGAAAAGATACCACAGTGCTTGTTCCTTCTGTCACCCTGACCAGTCCCTGCACCTGAGACCCTCAGAGTCCTGTCCTTAAGTAGCTCACTCCAGTGAATGCCCTGGAGGTACAGCTCAGATGACCTTCATGAAATCTACCACCTCTGCATTCTTCCTTACAGCTCCTTGGTCCTCTGCCTCAGGTGTGCCGCACACACATAGTCCTTTATACTATGTGATTTGTCTCAATTTATCTCTAAATTACACACTCCATAGGCAAGAGCTACTTTTGTCCACTTATCCCAAAGTCTAACATAATGCCTTAGGCTGTGTGAGTATTCAAGAGAGATGGGTTCAATTAGCGAAGAAGCAGTCAGTGTACTCTTCTGTGTTATTGTGGTACAGAATGAGCAGGCCTGGCCAGAAGGAGGTGTCCCTGGTGGTCTGGCCTGGCTGATGGGCAACTCTTTCAGTAATGCTGGGCATCAAACCCAAGGCCTCGTGCAGGCCAGGCAAGCAAGGGCTCTACCGCTGAGCTACATCCTTAGACCCTGGGCAGCCCTTTGAAAGATACTTATTGTGTGCTGCCGACCAACTCCTACCCCAGAGTTATGTGCCAGATCTTAGAACAGTGATGGTGAAACTTTTAGAGACGGGTGCCCAAACTGCAGCCCAAAACCCACTTATTTATTCAAAGTCCCAACATTGCAGTTAAACCTGAATACTGAGGTTTTAGTGCATAAAAAATAGCTCATAAATTAACATCTTTGGTCTTAAAAACATATTAACACATCATAGGTTCACTACCACTGCCTTAGTGAATTTCCCTGCTTCGTAGCAATCTTATCCTTGAAGGTTAAGATTATGTTACCTACGTTAATTATAAACTCAGTTTTCCTCTCTCTCCTCTTCTTCACCAGCCCTCTTTTCTTTTAGACCCAAAGTGGATTTTTTCAGGCCCTACAGCACTTTGAACATGGCCTTGGGTATTAGCAGTGTTCTCCTAGGGTAGCTGCGACCTCATCTGTCCTGAGTGTTCTTGAAGTTAATAATATATGTTTTCTAGTTATTTTCAACATTTCTAAAATGCTGGGGAAATTGTATACAGATGCTCCTTGACTTTAGATGGATTTACATCCTGCTGAACTCATCATCAGTTGATGATATCCTAAGAAGAAAATGCATTTATGGCTGGGCATAGCACTAGTAGCACTAGTCCCACCTACTCTGAGGCTGAGGCGGGAGGATCACTTGAAAACCAGTCTATGCAACATAGTGAGACCCTCAACTTAGAAAAAATACATTTATAGGCTGGGGATTTAGCTCAGTGGTTCCACCGCCTGCCTCAAAAGCAGAAGGACCTGAGTTCAATCCCTGGTACCACACACAAAAAAATTTACTACACTTAATCGACCAAACACCCTAGCTTAACAGCACAGCACAGCATTGTTGACCTGGTAACCTCATGGCTGGCTGGGAGCTGCAGCTTGACACCACTGCCAGCTTCGCCAGAGCAACATAGTTTATATTGCAATGCAGAGTCCAGTTTCCAAGAATGCATATTGCTTTTGCACCACTGGAAGGCTGAACCATCATAAACCTAAGATTGCTCCTATTTGCCTAAACTCCAGCTGCACCCAGAGCCTTGACTACCATCTTCCCTTCCGTGTGTCTGGAATCACATCACCACTCGTCTCCTGCTGGTCAGGAGGTCTGACTGCCAGTGAGATGTGTCGAGTAAAATTAGGCAAACGAATTTTGCTCACCCACAGTTTGTTAAGTGGAAAACACGTTTAGCACCCAAGGGCTGTGGGGAGACCATGGGGAATCTGGGAGGGGGCCCATAGCAGAGATAAGAAACAAAGTGTCCTGGTTCCTCTGGGGCCTCACCCTCCTCCTACAGGTGGCAGAGCTTCCAGGACTTGGTGTCACAACGGAGGGAGGCAGTGGACTCGGCCCTCCGGGTGCACAACTACTGCGTCGACTGCGAGGAGACCAGCAAGTGGATATCGGACAAGACAGTAGTCGTGGAGTCTATAAAGGACCTGGGGCAGGACTTGGCGCGCATCATCACCGTCCAGAGGAAGTTGTCAGGGCTGGAACGAGACGTGGCAGCCATCCGGGACCGTGTGGGGGCCTTGAGGCACAAGTCACAGCAGCTGATGGAGTCACACCCCGAGCAGAAGGACAACATTGGCCAGCGGTATGCAGATGTTGAGAAGCTGTGGGAAAAATTGCAAGAAGCCCTGAAGGACCAGGAAGCCTCCCTGGGTGAAGCCAGCAAGCTGCAGGCCTTCCTGCAGAAGCTGGATGAATTCCAGGCCTGGCTGTCCCTGGCCCAGAAGGCTGTGGCCTCTGAGGACATGCCTGAGTCACTCCCGGAGGCTGAGCAGCTCCTGCAGCAGCATGCAGCCCTCAAGGATGAGATTGACAGTCACCAGGAAAGCTACCAGCAGATCAAAGACTCCGGGGAGAAAGTGATTGAACAGTTCATACAGCAGCATGCAGCCATCAAGCAGGAGATTGACAGTCACCAAGAGGGCTACCAGCAGCCCGGGGCCTCCGGAGAGCAGGCAACTGAAGGCCAGAAGTACCCAGAGTACCAGCTCCTGGGCCAGCGGCTGGAGGGCCTGGGTACTGGCTGGGATGCCCTGCACAGGATGTGGGAGAGTCGCGACCACTCTCTCAGACAGTGCCATGGCTTTCAGGAGTTCCAGAAAGATGCCAAGCAGGCAGAAGCCATCCTCAGCAACCAGGTAGAGAGAGGTGTGCGGGGATAGGGCAGGGGCTCCTGGGGCCTCAGACCTAGTGGCGAGTCTGTGAGCTACAAGGCTGTGGGAGCAAGACCCGCTTTTCTTGATCTCTTTGTCATCACTAACTGGGAGGAAAGGACTTGTTTCTCCTCATGTTCCTCTTCTAGCCCTAAACTCCGTCCTGTCGTTGCGGGGTCAGAGGCTGGAGAAGTAGATCTTGTCTTGACTGACTGCCCTTTCATGTGGCTTTAGGGCCACTGTTCACGGGGTGACCCTGGGGTGGCAGCGGGCTGGGCCTGAGGAGTAGAGCCTCCTCTGTGTGTGGCTCGGCAGGTGCCCTAAGCCTCCTTAGCTTGTCCTGATGCCATGTCTGGAAACTTGCTTCAACAGGAATATACTCTGGCTCACGTGGAGCCCCCAGGTTCCCTAGCAGCTGCCGAGGCCGGGATCCGGAAATTTGAGGATTTTTTGATGTCTATGGAGAACAATAAGGATAAGGTCTTGAGTCCTGTGGATGCTGGGAACAAGCTGGCAGCCGAGGGAAACCTGTATGCGGACAAGATCAAGGAGAAGGTGCAACTGATAGAGGACAGGTACTCTCTGCTCTGAGTGCCCCTGGACCCCACACCATGGAGGGGCTGGGGTGCTGGGCAAGGACCCGGTCGCAGCACTGTCGTGACCAGCTTTGGCTTCCTTCCAGGCACCAGAAGAACAACCAGAGGGCCCAGGAGGCCACGGTTCTCCTGAAAGACAACCTGGAGCTACAGAACTTCTTCCAGAACTGCCAGGAGGTGAGGCCTGCAGGCAGGGCCTGCTCTCTGGGAGATCCCTGGCTAGGAGCAGCAGGGCTAAGGGTGGCAGCTCACAGAAATCCTGTCTCATCCGAGAGTGGTGGAATTCTTCGAGCAGAGTACTCAGTCGTTTAGGTCACCCTTGAAATCTCAATTCCAGAGTTCTCTTGCCCCCACTAACCTGAAAAGTCATCCTTTGATTTTCCAAGTCAAAGACAGGGTTTCTCAAAGAGTTGTCTGGGGCCAGGGATTTAGCTCAGTGGTTTCGCCTGCTGCCTTGCAAGCGCAAGGTCCCGAGTTCGATCCCCGGTACAAAAAAAAAAAGCATCTTCTTCTATCTCACTCCTGAAGGTTCTGACTCACAGGAGCCCGCCCTTGGTTTAGCGCCTTGCAGTTGCCATCTTGAAATCCACTGTAGTATGTTTGAACACCTTAATTTTGCTTCATCCCCTGCAAATTGTGGATCCAGACTTAGCCTTAGATGGAGCAGACTCCTGTGAGTCAGAACCTTCAGGAGTGAGACAGAAGAAGAAGATTTTTTGTTTTTTTTTGTACCGGGGATCGAACTCAGGACCTTGTGCTTGCAGCTAGGCAGGCAGCGGCACCACTGAGCTAGATCCTCTGAAGAAGCATTTTAAACAAGCCTCCCAGCAGGAGAACTTCTGGCTTAGGGGGTCCTTGCTTGTCTTTAATCTGTCCCTGGGGTCCCTTGATTGGCAGGACTTCCCGTGTGCAGTGGGGCTTTTTCTCCTCTCTCCTTTGGCCCTTTCCTCCCAGCACAGACAACTTTGTTTTCCTCTACCTCTGCCTCGGCACAATCCAGGCCTGGTACGGTGCCAGGATATCTTGGAAACATTGGAGGTTCACCACACTTCTTTCTTCGTTGTTAATTAAAGGATCTGTCCTCAGATAACATTGGCCTCTTTTGCCCTGCATTTATTAGTGAGTCCTCGCCCTACTGCCAAAGGCTAGATCCATCTGTCCATCCAGTAAAATCACACTGTCTTCCTATACTATTTCCAGGCCCTGTCTTTGGTCCTGGAAATACGGAGAGAAGAATACATTAGTCTTGGTGTCACAGTCTAGTGAGGAAGATGCACCCTGTGCCCGCATCATGGCCCTGGTGTGATGCTGGGGCCTAGGGATCCAGAGATGGAGCTTTGTCCTCGTCACACTTTCTCCCCCTGGCCTTCTCCTTCTGCAGCCAGGGGTAGAAGAGCACACCATCAAGCTCACTCTTTCTGCCCACAGCTCACTCTCTGGATCAATGACCAGCTGCTGACGTCTCTGGATGTCTCCTATGACGAAACACGCAACCTTCACAACAAGTGGCTGAAGCACCAGGCATTTCTGGCCGAGCTGGCTTCGCACCAAGGGTGGCTGGAGAACATCGATGCGGTGAGTGGCTTGGGTCAGGGCTGCTGGGCCTGCTGCTGAGAAAGCCCTGTGACTGGGGTTGCCCCCTTGGCATGGACACTGTACCCAAATTTGCTGGGCACTGTAGAACTTGGCAGTGAAAAGAACTTCTCTAAATCATTAAAAAAAAAACTTGCGGGCTTCCAGTACAGCCAGTCTCCTTTTAAGTCTGATTGCAGCTGTGCTTCTTCTGAGTCACCTGTGCCTAGGGACAGTTCAGGACACTGGGACGCGCCAACTTGATCCGATGCCAAGATAGAAGTTATTTCTGTTTGCCTCCTTTGTCCTTACCAGGGCTCTAGCACTGTCCTGTCCAGTGCCAGGGAAACACGGGTGACCAGAGTGGTCCGACAGAGCCATTGACCCTCCTTGGGTGGATGGGCAAACACACCAGGGGGCAGTCAGTCCTTTACCACCCACGGAGATGATGGGGGCCTGCCCGATGGCTGGAGTTAGGTCTGGGAGCCGCAGCCCCTTGCCCTCCCTGCTGCGGCTGTCCGGGAAGAGGCAGGCCCAGGGTACCCATGAGGCCAAGCCACATAATGGGCGAGGGTGTAGCCCCGAGCCGGACTGACTCCTCAGCCTTCCTGGGGCTTGGCTTCTTCCTCTCCTGAGATGAGAATAATGATAGCACTAACCCAATAGAGTTATGAGTGCTGAATGCTTGAAGACTGATAAAGCACTTAGGAGAGCACTTGGCGATTGTGAGGCCCTCAGTACACGGTGGCTGCTGTTAGTGCTGTATATTCCTAGGCCCGAGGCCCATCACACCGTACACACCCCGAAGCGATACATTCATGTAGGTGAAACCCAGATAAGGCATGCTTAGCCGCTAGAGAGATCCCCAAGGTTAGCGTACAGCCTGGGGAGCTCACAGGGAGGCCTCCATGCTCCAGCGCCTGGGTGGATCTTGAATCTATGTTGTTTTAATACCAGCAGACCGCCATCCTGTGATCTCCCTGAGTCATTTGCCTCCAGTGCTGCTCTCCCGCAGATAATGCCAGGGATTCAGAGTATTTCGGTGGAGCTGCACCCAAGTTCTGTGTGGTTCTTTGCTTTTCTGACCTTCCCTCGGGTAGCTTTCACCTGAAGTAGAACTGCTCCAAGGCCTCTGACAGTGACCTCTCCTCCTTCTCCCACAGGAAGGGAAGCAGCTGATGGAGGAGAAGCCCTGGTACAAGCAGAGGGTGTCTGAGAGGTTAGAAGCCTTGCACAGGCTCTGGGATGAGCTGCAGGACACAACCAAGAAGACGACCCAGGAACTCTCAAAGGCCAGGAGCTCTGACCTGCGCTCGCAGACCGAAGCGGACCTCAACAAATGGATCAGTGCCATGGAGGACCAACTGCGATCAGATGACCTGGGCAAAGACCTGACCAGTGTCAACCGGATGTTGGCTAAGTTGAAGGCATGTGAGCAGATTGTATTAGACTAGCTGGGATCTTAGAGGCACAAACCTGAAGCCCTAAAGGAAACGCTGTTATTTCTCTTAGCTGCAGTTGTATTATTATGCAGAAACGTTCTGGTCCATAATCCTTTCCCCCTCCTTTTGCAGTGGGAGGGACAAGGATCCAGTGAAAGGGTGCCTGGGAGATACAGGATAGGTGCCGAGAGGAGTTGGCCCCAAAGGAGCTGTCCCAGAGGAGGCTGAGCTCATACTGGGCCTTAGAGGATGGGTGGAGGCAGGTGGCTGGAGAGCCAGGAGGGGCTGCCCAGGAGCCAGAGCCAGTGCTGACGCTGTCCCCTTGTGTCTCAGCGAGTGGAGGACCAAGTGAATGTGCGTAAGGAAGAGCTGGAGGAGCTGTTTACCTCGTTGGGAGAAGACGCAGACCTGAGTGTTGAGAAGCGGTTCCTGGACCTTCTGGAACCACTGGGGAAGAGGAAGAAGCAGCTGGAATTATCCAGAGCCAAGCTGCAGATCAGCCGGGACTTAGAGGATGAGACGGTGCGTGGGCTGTAGCCTCTCCATCCCCAGGGTCGAGCCACCAGCTGCCATCAGGGCAGCCGGCTGCCGTCCAGAACAGTTCTTCGCAGTGGGTGATCAGTTATCTCACCCCTTATCTCCTGGGGTCATTGTGATGATTGCATTAAATAGAGGAGCAAAGCCAGTGCTTTTTGAATAGCAACTCACCGATCACTTGCTAATATTGATAGTGATAAGTGTGGATTGGGGGTCAGAGGAACTTTGGGTTCATCTATGTTACTATGTTACTTTCCCATCCTGAGAGCAGGAGCTGGTTATTTGGAAACTCAGTTCAAAATATCACAATGTCCCCATCTGTAAAATGGGGCAGGGGGGTGCGCAGGAGGACACGGCCAGCATCCAGTCTGTCTGGATCTTTGTGGGTGCTCAGGAAAGGGTGGCCGTGATTGTCATCAGCTGTCCCCTGCCTCCTGGTCTCTGTAGCTCTGGGTGGAGGAGAGGCTGCCACTGGCCCAGTCAGATGACTATGGCACTAATCTGCAGACCGTGCAGCTGTTCATGAAGAAGAACCAGGTGAGTCCTGTGTCACCTCCCCAGCCCCCCTGCCTGGCCCCTGGGGGTCTGGCCCAGCCTTGCACTGTGGAAGGCTGGTAACAGCAGATTATTGCTCCTGTGGGTATCTTTGGAGTCCCCAAACTGTATTTGAAGTCCCATTGCAAAAGGGCAGGCTTTGGTGATTGCAGAGAGGATTCTGGGAGGCTCACAGAGGAGGGTGGGATTGTGGTACTTGGGACTTGGGGCCATTCAGACCCCCCGCCCCAGGCTCTGGTGAGTGCAGGATGCAGGAGGCCCTGGCCTGGCTTAAGGTGCTTCCATCACCCTGGATTCAGAGGCCTCCCCAAGAGGATGCCAGTCATTCCTGCTCTCTCCCCCACGGCACTGCCTTACCACTCTTCCAGGGCTGAGCTCGGCATATATAGTGACCTTGGGGTACACAGACCCCTTCCTTTGGCGGTGTGAGGCTATCAGGGGGCTCAAACATCATTACAAAGCCACCGAACATGGTCTCTGAGCCCTAGGAGAAGAAACATCACCTGCGTTCGGTGAAATCAAGCCAGATTGGGAGCAGCTAAGGCCCTGGTCTGACTCCTGGGATGAGGATTGCTCTGCCAGGGCTGTGGAAGGAGTCTGAACCCTCAAGGAAGCCAGCTGTGTGGGGCCATGGTGGCTTCATAGAGTGCCTCACCCTGACCTGTCAGCCGGCAAGGAGAGTCTGGGAACTTGGACCCAGAGCAAAGTAGTGTGTCCCAGGGTGTGGTGTCAGAAACGAAAGCGGGACTGGGGATTTAGCTCAGTGGTTTCGCTGCCAGCTTTGCAAGGTCCTGAGTTCCATCCCCTTTACCAGAAAAAGAAAAGAAAGGAATTGCAACTCCACAGCACGCAGCGCTCCCTCCCTCCAGAGTGGCTGCAGCAGAGCCCTGCTTCAGGATCCTCAGAGCCCAGCAACTGACTGGAAAAGGCCTGCACCAGACTCAAAGCAGTTTCTTCAAAGTTCCCTTAGGCCCTTTGCCTAACACAAAGGCTCCAGCAGCCACTTGCAAGGACCTCACCTAGAAGATGATAAGATTTGGGGTTAAGGCCACAGCCTGCAGAGGCAGTGGGAGACAGTGGCCTTGGGGCCTCAGTTGTCTCAGTTGTAAAATGAGCCAGCCCCTGTCTTTTCAGCCTAGAGACTGGTGATTCTGATAAGCCTCAGTATTCGGTGCTCAAAGCTTTCCAGCTCCCCTAGCCAGCAGCTGCTATTTTGGGAAAGGAGCAAGTCAAATAGGGTGATGGGACTCCCCTAACCAGAAGGAAAAATAACCTCTAAGGAGAGTACAGCTGCCCTAACGGAGACTCTTTTAGGCTAGCCTGGCTACAGTGGAAATCTAGTTGCATTTCCTCCTGAAAACCCTCCTCTTGCTGGCTCTGATGTCAGTGTGCGCACACTCAGTGGGCTTGTTAAACGTCGCCGACCAGGCTCCAGCCCAGACCCACCGCCGAGTCCAATCTGGGGTGCGGCCTGGTAATCAGCATCGCCCACAACAAGCTCCTAAACCTGGGTGATTCTGAGGCTGCTAAATGGGCCTCTGCTTTGAGGGCCACAGCCCAGGTGGATCCCACTGCAATCAGACAAACCCTGCAAGGTGTCGCAGTGCTGGGTCTCACCTGGCCGCACATTAAAATCACCTGGGGAGCTTTTCTATCACAGATGGCATCTCTTACCTCAGGTCAGTTAGGGTCTCCAGGAAGGAGTCATGGAGTGCCTGTTTTTGCAGCAGATTATTGAGAATTAAGAACATCGCCTTGCCTGCTCTGGCTCCCACCTACCTCTGAACCACATCTCTCTTCTCAGTTTTAGTTTCTATTAGTACACGTGTGCACTCTCCGTGGGGAGGTGGCATGTACACACAGTACCTCTTCATTCCTTTCTCCGTCCCCTTTCTCTCCCCTCCCCACTCTTTCCAGCTCTTAACCTCTTCCCATTTGAACAAAAGGAATCTCCCTACTTCTGTTACCTCTTTCCTTTTGATCTTCATTTATTTTCATTTATTTTCTGAGTTTCTCCTAGAAGAAAAACCATGTGATACTTAAGCTTGTGTGTCTGATTTACTTCACTTAAGATGGTCTCAAGATGCATCCATTTTCCTGCATTATTACTCAAGTTGATCTTTATGGAAAAGTAAAACCCCACTGTAAGTAAATGCCTCATTTTCTTTCCCTGTTCATCTGTTCATGGACACATAGGCTGCTTCTGAGATTCAGCTGTTACGAACTGTGCTGCTATGCCCACGGGTATGCACGTATTACTGTGATAGTGCCAGCAGCTTCCTCTTGCTCTCGGGTCATTTTTGTGGGGCAACAAAGATTGAAGCCAACAAAACAGCAAGCAGCGAGCGGTGAGACTGGCCAAATAGACACTTATTAGAAAGAATAAAGGAAAAGCTCCCCGCTAGTTATAGAGGAGCTTGTTAAGACAGACACTGTAGGGCCGGGGATTTAGCTCAGTGGTTCTGCTATCTGCCTCACAAGCACAGTGGACTTGAGTTCGATCCCTGGTACAAGAAATAAATAAATAAATAAAGACAGACACTGTAGATCAGTGCTGGTGAATCTTTTAGAGCTTTCTGTAACACACATAGCACACATGCCATAGTCCGGCACTACTGCTAGAGATGTTTAAGTCCAGAGGCCTTTTATATGGTTTTTGGTAGGGGTGAACAGGACAGGGCACAGGACTCTCCTGGTGCAGGTAGCCTCTGACGTCCAGAATGGAAGCTGCTTCCTTCGCAAGTCACTCCTACAGGGCTTCTCTCCTTGGGTTAGGGGCCTGCTCCTTGTCGGTTGCATTCCATTAGCCCCTGATAGTTGGTTTGCTTAAATTAGTTATTCAGGCCCTCTGGCATGTTCACTCACTTGAGCCCTGACTTTTAGTTTACTTTAGGTTAATTATTCAAGACCTGTGCTCTATTCCCTAACTTCCCCTATCTCCTTGCTTCACTGCGATGTCTTTAACTCTTTGGAGAGGATACCCAGAAGAAGAGTAGCTGGATCTGGTGGAATTTCTAGTTTTAATTTCTTGGGGAATCTCCATGCTGATTTCCATAGTGGTTGTACCAGTTCGCCTCACCACCACCAAGGTAGAAAGGTCCCCCCAGCACAGCCTCGTCAGCATTTATTTGATTCCTTGATTCCTTGATAATAGCTGTATAAGTTACTTTTCTCTCACTGATGAGACAAAATACCCCAACACCTAAAGTTAAAGGGGAAAGGGTTTATTTGTTCATAGTTTGTAGAGGTTGCAGTCCAAAAGCAGCTGGCTGCAAGGCAGGGATGGCAAACAGGCATCATAGAGGAAAAACAATATGGCGGCACAAGGCAGCAGAGGCAATAAGAGAGACATTAACAGTGTCATTCTACTCCTGTTATCTTATTCAGACTACTTAGGGCGGGTAGCACTCACACCCTTAATCCCAGTGCCCTCAGGCCCCCATGACTCAATCAGTACTCTAGAGTCAGCCACCCAGAAAACACATGAGGCTTTGTGGGGGTCCATAATAATAACTATTCTTTCTGAGGTAAGATGGAATCTCACTTAGTTTTAATTTGCATTTCTCTGGTGGCCAGTGATGTTGAACATCTTTTTTATATACTTATCTGTCATTAGTACTTCTTCTTTTGAGAAATGTCTATTCATTTCAGTTGCCCATCTTTTGATTGAGTCTTTTATTTGGGGTTCTTTATATATTCTAGATGTTCCTGTCTGAGGAATAGATGGCAAAAATTTTCCCATTCTATAGATTGTCTCTTCGCTCTGTAGGTTGTTTCCTTTGCTGTGCAGAAGCTTTTTAATTTCATATGATCCCATTTATTGATTCTTGGTATTATTTCTAGTGCCTTTGGGGTTCTGTTCAGAAAGTCTTTGTCTATGCCTGTGACATCAAGAATTTTACTTATTTTATCTTCTAGTAGATTGTTGCTGTTTTAACATTGAAATCTTGATCCATTTTGGTATTAGTTTAGTATGTGGTGAGAGATATGAGTCTAGATTCAATCCTCTGCATGCGGATAGCCAGTTTCCCTGGTACCACTTATTAAAGAGGCCATCTTTCCTCTAGGGTATGTTTCCATACCCTTTGTCAAAGATGAAACAGCTGAATGTGCCTGGTGTCTCTGCACCCTCTCCCTTTTTCCATTGATCTGCATGTCTGTTTCTGTGCCAGAACCATACTTTCTCACCACTGTAGCTTTGTGATATACATTCAAATCTGGGATTTTGATGGCTCCAGCTTTGCTCTTGTTACCCGGGGTTGCTTTTGCTATTCTGGGTCTCTTCTGGTTCCGTGTGGATTTTAGCATTTAACCCACATCTCTTACCACCTTCGCCTTTCCTCATAGCTCCTCTCTTGCAGTCCTGCCCCCTTCTCTGGCTTCTGACAGCCTGCACTCGTTTCCAGCCAGGTCCTTTGCCCTTGTTCTTCCTCTGTGCCAGGAGTACTCACCTCAGATGTTTGTGTAGTTGCCTCCCTCTTCATTCATGCCTCACTTCAATGTCTTCTCCTCAGAGAAGTCCTTCCTTAGCTCCCTAGCTGAAGTAGCCACTGCCACACCTCGGCAGACACCCTTCACCCCATTGTTGAATTTTCCTTGCAGCACTCAGGGAGGAAGATATCGTCTTTGTTTACTTACATGTTTGCCATCAGTTTCATCTACTTGATTATATCATTTTTTGGGGGGGATACGGGGGACCGAACTCGGGCCCTTGCTCTTGCAAGGCAGGCGGCAGAGCCACTGAGCCAAATCCCCAGCCCAATTTCATCTACTTGATAAGAAGTTTTATGAGAGCAGGCATTTTCTTCATCTCATTTCCATTTTGCCCCTGGCACTTAGCCTGCCATATAGGCAAAACCTTAAGAAATATGTGTTGAATAAAGGAAGACAGAGAAGATATCATAGACATACACACCCTCCACAGGAGCCTAGAAAAGGCTTCAGAAGGGAAAGAGAAATACCTTTGAGAGCGGCATGCAGAGGTTGTAAGATCTCAGAACAAATGGCAGGAGAACTGGCAGCATGGTCTGTGTGAACCCGGCCCAAAGACCATGGGAAACTGTCCCAGTCAGGATCCCCAGCGGGAAGTGCTGACCTGCATTTCAGGTAGGGCCTCATATATTTCAAGAGCTGGTGGCCACTGCTCTACCCATACAGGCTGCTCTTCCACTGCCTTGCAGGTGGTTTTAAAGGCCCTGGGGAAATGGCCATCAGGAATGAAGTGAGGTGTAGGTGCCCAAGAGCCCACACGTAAGCAACAGCCAGCCCTGGCCTCGAGGACCCAGAGCGGACCCTGGCCAGGTGTCAGGGCCTCCTGAAGAAGACGTGATCTGGTCAACAGACTGGGAGAAAAAGGCCATTTTGGGTGACCAAAGGCTCGTTCAGTTCACAAAAGACTTGAGAAGTAGAAGTGGAGGTGGGCCGGGGATTTAGCTCAGTGGTTCCACCACCTGCCGTGCAAGCGCGACGTCCCGAGTTCAATCCCAGGTACCAAAAAAAAAAGAAGTGGAGGGGAAAAAACCCAAAATATTTCAAAAGAGGCAGATGTCACTGTTCTTTTATCTCGAGCAAAAGCTGCTAAACTGAAATACTGAATGGTCCTTGGAAATGGTTTCTCTTTCCTGCAATACACGCACCTAAGCGATCAGGCTCTGACGACAACAGAAAAAATAGGGACAAATTCAGGGCATGGGCTACGGAGTCGGGAGGGCGGTGTTCAAGTCCCAGCCCGTCTGTCCCCTCACCGCCAGCAGGCTCCTCCGCTGCCACGTGCCAGTGCCAGCATCCAGAGCTTCTCTGGGGCCTCCCGAGCGCAGAAGGAGGGGCGGCTTAGCATCCTGCTGCCAGGTGGTCCTGGCAGGTTCTATTCACCACCTGCTCTGCTCCAACAGGAGGAGGAGTGGGGGACAAGGGGTGAGGCCTGGGCCGCGGCAGCAGACACAGCCTCCCTGGGTCCAAAGGCCCTGCCCTGAGCCCTTGCTTCTCATTGCAGACGCTGCAGAATGAGGTCCAGGGCCATGCGCCGCGGGTGGAGGATGTGCTGCAGCGAGGGAAGCAACTGGTGGTGGCGACAGAGACCGACCTCCGGGACATCGAGGAGCGCCTGGGGCACCTGCAGACCTCCTGGGAGGTGCTGCAGCAGGCAGCGGTGGGGCGGGGGCAGCGCCTGCGGGACGCCCACGAGGCGCAGCAGTACTACATGGATGCTGATGAGGCTGAGGCCTGGATCAGTGAGCAGGAGCTCTACATCTTCTCCGACGAGCCCCCCAAGGTTTGCTTGGGGGGCTGCAGGCCGGGGTGCTAGGGCGGGCAGTCGGGAGCAGCCTCAAGTCCAAGTGCGCAGGGGCAGGGCGAGGGTGCATAGTGAGCCCGCAGGGTCTCTGCTGCCCCTGGTGCCCCCTTCGTGGTCACCCCTCTCGCTGATAACACCCCTCCGGTGCACATTCCACGGCCAGGGGCTCCACTTGCACACAGATATGACCCCAACCCAGGGCCGTTCACTCTTGGGCCCTAGATTTGGTACTGGTGAGCTTGCTGCCGGATGGGGTGAGAGGAGAAAGATGGGCTCTCAAAGCTGGGACGACAGGGGGACAGAGCCAGCAATGGGCCCAGAAGGAAGGGCAGAGTGCAGCTAAGACCTGGGGGAGCGGAGAGAGGAGAGTAGGAACTGGGCAGTGCTGGGATTCGGACCAGCAGGGAGGGAGGGCGTGTGGCCGTCCTGCCCACCTCGGGGCCTCCAGGACCTGGTCTGGACCTTGCCTGGGCAGGGAGCATGGCCCTGCTGGGCCCTGGCGCTAACTACCTGCTCCTCCCAGGAAGAAGAGGGCGCCATTGTGATGCTGAAACGGCACCTTCGGCTGCAGCGCACAGTGGAGGAGTACGGGAGGAACATTAAGCAGCTGGCTGGCCGGGCCCAGAGCCTGCTGGCTGCTGGCCACCCGGAGGGGTGCGTGTGCTCTGGGGGGACTTGCAGGTCCTAGGCACCAGGCCGGGGGCCCAAGCTACCTGCAGGTTGGCCCAGCTCTATCTTAAGCCTCGGTTTTGTGAGAGGAACCTGCATGAGCCCTACCCAACGCCGGGTTTACAAAGAGGCCAGAGAATGGAAGAGTCAATCTACCCTCTTGGTAAACTGAGAGCTCCACCTTATGAAGAATTAGAATACGCTGAGACACAGAAGACTAATTGTACTTTTTTATGTGACCTGTGATGTGAGTTCCTGAAGCATCTCACAGGGTCTCAGCAAAATCCTTAGGCAGGAGTGAAGGTAGAAAAGCGATGCTGTTTGAACTGAGGTGCTTGGACTTTCGGGAACCAACTGGCCAGACTCTTCAGGCTGCCCGAGTCACGGCCTGCTCTCAGCTGCCTTTAGGGCACCCGTTGCTGCACGTCCTCAGCAGTGCCCCAGCCTGTGCCCCAGGGAGAGCCAAGGTCCTTCCCTGAAGAGCTAAGCAGGGCCGCTGCTGGGGTCCTGCTCAGAGCTCTGCCCCGCAAGGCTCCTGGGGAGGAGAGGGAGAAGGTCTCCTTGTACACTTGACTGCGAGGGAGGAGCCCTGCTGAAGGCCCCACGAGAGGACAGAACTCCATAGTACGGTCCCGCTCTGCCTGGTGGCATCACAGCCTAAGGGCTTATCCCTTTACTTCCCGACGCTTCCCTGGGAAAGGTCACTGGCTTCACACCCCACATGCCCCTGCCAGGGATTCAGAGGCTCAACCACTCCTCGGAAGTGCCTGCTATGGGTGTCCAGTCGCCACCTTTAAGGGATTTCTTGGTTGAATTCCAGGGAGCAGATTATCAGACATCAGGGACAGGTGGACAAGCAGTATGCAGGGCTGAAGGACATGGCCGAAGAACGCAGGCGCAAGCTAGAGAACATGTACCACCTATTCCAGCTGAAGAGGGAGGCCGACGACCTGGAGCAGTGGATCATAGAAAAGGAGAAGGTGGCCTCCGACCAGGAGATGGGCCAAGACTTTGACCACGTGACTGTAAGTAGCCGTAGCCCCCACTTTCTGTGTCCCCCGTTAACAGACATAGCCAGCCGTCCTTCCTGGCCCACACGCTGCCCTGCGTGGGTCAGAGATGCAGCCGCACTGGGCCAGGTATGACTGGGCTGCCTGGGCAAGGTGTGAGGTCCGGGCCAGGCAGTTGTGGTGGTTGAGGGAAAGTGCCCAGCTCAGAGGGTGACGATGTCCGCCTGTTCCCCAGCTCTGCTGACCCCATTTCCATCTGCCTCGCCTCCAGATGCTCAGAGATAAGTTCCGAGACTTTGCCCGGGAGACCGGGGCGATCGGGCAGGAGCGGGTGGACAATGTGAATGTCATCATCGAGCGGCTCATCGACGCTGGCCACAGCGAGGCTGCCACCATCGCCGAGTGGAAGGACGGGCTGAACGACATGTGGGCGGACCTGCTGGAGCTCATCGACACGCGCATGCAGCTGCTGGCCGCCTCCTACGACCTGCACCGCTACTTCTACACGGGCACCGAGATCCTGGGCCTCATCGACGAGAAGCACCGGGAGCTGCCCGAGGACGTGGGGCTGGACGCCAGCACGGCGGAGTCCTTCCACCGCGTGCACACCGCCTTCGAGCGGGAGCTCCACCTGCTGGGCGCGCAGGTGCCTCGGACGTCACGAGCCCCGCCCCCACACCCCGGAGCGTCAGGGCCCCATGGGGTTCCTAGAGGGAAAACGCTAGAAAGGGCACCGGAAGGTCTGTCTGTCTTAGAGAACCAACAGCGCAGAGCAGAGAGCAGGGTCTCTCACTCTGAGAGGGTTGCTCTAAAAAATGAAGAGAATTAATAGATGTGAACTACGCAGAATGGTGTTGGCCCATAGTTACTCTTATTGTTACTTCTCAGGAGATCAAAGAGTGCAGAGCCCCTCTCACTTCAAAGTCTCAGTGAAGTCCAGGGGTGCCTTGGGTAGGCAGAGGTGCCAGAGCAGAGAGACCTCTACAGACTTCCCCGCTGGGTGGGAAAATACAGGCCCGAGAGCCCTCTGTCCGGAACAATGTCTGGTTTTGCCTGACTGCACAGGTACAGCAGTTCCAGGACGTGGCCACGCGCTTGCAGACGGCGTATGCCGGGGAGAAGGCGGATGCCATCCAGAGCAAGGAGCAGGAGGTGTCTGCTGCCTGGCAGGCACTGCTTGATGCCTGTGCCGGGCGCCGGACCCAGCTAGTGGACACGGCGGACAAATTCCGCTTCTTCAGCATGGTCCGAGACCTCCTCTCCTGGATGGAGAGCATCATCCGGCAGATCGAGACCCAGGAGAAGCCCAGGTGAGGAAGCACCCTCAAGACAGCCCCGAGCCGTGCCCCGTGCGGCTGGCAGAGAAGAGGCTGCCCCCTGGGGACAGTCCCGGACTGTTGGGTGTATGGCAGTCCCTGAGGGGTGCCCAAGGCTTCGGCTGGGTTCTGGGAGAAACGGAGCTGCTCGGCTTCGACTGGGAGGACCAACTATTTCAGAGTAAGCGGAGAAAGACTCGTCACCAAGTTCTCCCCTGCGGGTAACGGCCACTGTGTCCGTGAAACAAGTGACTCACACATGCAAAGCTGGGGGTGTCCAACACTGTTCATTCTTCCCCAGCACTGGGGTGTGGGGGCTCCCCCGAAACCCAGGACAGAGCTGCTTGTCCACCAAAGTTGGGGCCGGGCCCTTGGCAGTGAACGCCTCACAGGACGCCACCCAGTCCTCAGCAGTTGGCGGTGACACATCTGTCCCACTGCCCCTCCCGTGCCTTCTCGGCGGCTGTGTTTTTACCTTTACCATCTTTATTGGATATAAGTCACATACTACACTTCTCCTAAAGGGTATCGTTCAGTGATTTTATATAGTCCCATGTATACAGCTATCACCACAGTCTGAGTTTAAGTTTTCCTCACTTCCCTCTCCTCATGCACCCTTTGCCCCTGGCAGCCTCTGTTCTACTTTTTGGTCCCTCGAGATTGCCTATGCTGGATGTTTCATATAAATGGAATCATGTAATATGTAAAAGGATTCTTTCATTTAGCCTACTTTCAAGGTTCATCAATGTTTATGTTATGACAATTTTTTTTTTTTGGTACCGGGGATCGAACGCGGGTCCTTGTGTTTTCGAGGCAGGCATCGGAACCACTGAGCTAAATCCCGAGTCCATCAATGTTTATTTTAAATCAATATTTCATTCCTTTTTCTTTTGCTGAAAAATATTCCCAGGTGTATTAGTCAGCTTTCCTGTCACTGGTACAAAACACCCAACACCCACACCTTCAAGGAGAAGTTTAATATGGCTCATGGTTTCAAGGACTTCAGTCCATGGTTGACTGACCCCTAAGGCAGGAAAATCATGGAGGAAGGGTGTGGCAGAACAAAGCCCGTAGTTCATGGTAGCCAGGAAGCAGAGGACCAGATATAGGCCCCAAGGCCACACCTCTGTGACACACCCAGAAGTATGCTTTTATTAATCCTCTAGGTGGCTCCCAAGCCAGTCAGTTGACAATTTAACTCAATTTACACCTGGTTTCTTTTGGAATCCCTGTATCCCCTTCCCACAGCTTGGTGAGTGACTGATGGAAGACACAAAGGTGTCCGTAGTCTTGCTGGGGCTGGGCAGGAGAATGACTCCTGAGCTGGCCAGAGAGAGGGGAGAGTGGGGCCAGACTCCTGGGGACAGGTGGGCCCCCCGCCACAGTGACTCCCCGATGGTTCTCTGCCCTTGTCCTCCTGCCCACAGGGATGTCTCCTCAGTGGAACTGCTCTTGAAGTATCACCAGGGCATCAAGGCAGAGATCAACACCCGAGCCAAGAACTTCAACACCTGCCTGGAGCTTGGGGAGTCCCTGCTGCAGCGGCAGCACCAGGCCTCGGATGAGGTGAGCCCCTGCATGTCCTGTCTCTGTTCTTGTGGCCTGGCAACTTCTGAGGATCTCACCTTTCACCCATGGAGCATCGGGGCTGCCCACAGGTCAGGAATCAGAGCCTCACAAGCCCGTCCCCACCTCACTAGAGAACAGACAGACTTTTACCTAACCCCCAACACCCACATGTATGCTTGCTTTGGAGTTGATGACCCGTATCACGGGAGAGACACACGTAGGTGCCACAGAGAGGTAAGGGACTTGCCTGAGGCTGCACAGCTGGAAAGAAGCAGGGTCAGGACTCGAAGCCAAGACTGCAGTCAAGCCTGGCCTTCTTCGCAGCCACGTGTGCACTGCCTCAGACAGAGGAAAGGGTTAGCAAGGCCTGAGCCGTGTCCTCCCTTCCTGCAGATCCGGGAGAAACTGCAGCAGATGATGGCCAAGCGGGTAGAGATGGACAGGAAGTGGGCGGAGCGCGATGACCGGCTTCGCATGTGTGAGTGCAGTTCGGGGCCTGAGCCTAGGGTCAAGGACCCACACCCACTGGAGAGGGCAAGAGGGTGGAGCTGCCTGGAGAAGACCCCGGGGCCGGGGGCATCACGCATCTGCAGAGCTCTGGGCCCAGGTCTCAGGGTCCCAGCATGCCTCCCACAGACATGCTCTGGAAGCTTCCCCAGCAAGCACTGTGCCCCTCCCTGCCCACCCTGCCCATCCCACCTGTCCCTCCTGCACCGGCCAGAGAGGGGTCAGGACAAGGCTGGCTGTCGTGCCTGGACACTGGCTCTGCAGTGTGATGTACGCTCTGTCCTTGAGCACCTGGAGGCCCAGAGCAGTGAGGAAAACCTCACTGTTCTCTCTTAGCCAGGCTGTGGAGATGCACACCTGTAATCCCAGCGCTGCATTTTGTTTTCAGAATGGTTTATTCCAATGAGTGTTTTAGGAATAGACCATTGATGGAGATGGGGTTGGACCACAGGGTGGGATGGACTGGCCTTGGGCAGGTGGTCACCCCCCGAGCAGGTGTCACCTGCATGGGCCTCCTGTCTGGTCGCCGGCCCTGTGTGTGTCTGCTGCGCTGCCCCAGGTCCCTTGGGCCATTGAGCACTAACAGCCCCGCCTGGCCGGTGGCCCTGTGGCTTGTTCCCACCGCAGTGCTCGAGGTGTGTCAGTTCTCGAGGGATGCCTCCGTGGCCGAAGCGTGGCTGATCGCCCAGGAGCCCTACTTGGCTAGCCGGGACTACGGGCACACAGTGGACAGCGTGGAGAAGCTAATCAAGAGGCACGAGGCTTTTGAGAAGTCCACGGCCACCTGGGCAGAACGCTTTGCTGCCCTGGAGAAACCCACCACGGTGAGCGGGGTGGCAGGGGCTTGAGAGGGCGGTGGGTGTCAAGTGGAGAACTGTAGGCTGTTGTCAGGTACCTAGGCTGGGGTGGGATATGGAGAAAGTACTGATCTTTGAATGCCAAAGCCAGAAGGGAGGCTGGGGGACAAACCCCAGTGTGTGCCGGGCTGCGCTTAGGGAGAGGTCATCTGAGAGCACAGCTCTTTGCTGTAGCTGCCCTGACCCTTTGGCCTTTTCCTCCACCAGCTTGAGCTTAAAGAACAACACCAATCCCCAGAGAGACCCACGGAGGAGCCAGGGTGAGTAGCTGCTGCGGGGTGGGGGGGAGCTCACCGTGAAGGGGACCGAGCGGATAGGAGAACAGAACTTTCGATCTGAAACTGGTGGTCTGAATAAGGCATCTAACATCTCACCCCTGGGCCCCTCGTCAGTGCACCCAGAGGGCACAGGGGTCAAAGCAGGCGTAATGTGTTGCCCCAGTCATGGTGGCCTGCAGTGACGGCCTTGAATCCTGATTCCTGGGTGCAGTGCTGATTCTGTCCTTTGGGAGCCCCTGATTGCAGCTGTTCCCATGGGAGGCGCCATTGTGCACACTCCCTGTGCAGAAGCCAGGCCTTGCAGCCGGGCACCTGTTGCTAAAGAGAGGCTGTGTCTTCCTTAGGCCTCAAGAGGAGGAAGGCGAGACAGCAGGGGAGGCCTACCGTGCGACCACCACGGAGAGAACATCCCCGGTCAGTTTCCTGACGGGTTGGTCTGGTTCTATGGAGTCGTTGCTGCCCGAGCCCTCTCATCCCTACTAGGCTGAGTGGGGGTGGAAGGCAAGGACAGGGACCTGAGCCACCCCACGGCCCTCTCGGAGCCACCTTCAAGTCAGTCTACTTTTCACTGAAGTCTTTTTAATTCTTAGAATAATTCCCCTCCTCCCTTCCACCCAGAAGAAACTGACACGCCAGCTCACTGACGTGACTCTACTCGTTTGGTTTTATCTAGTCTAATAAATTTTACTGTACAAACACATCGCCATCTACGTCAGGGGAGGCTCTTCCTACAGACAAGCTCATTTCTGTACCACGTCCTCTCGTCCTGCCACCTCCCTCCCCGACGCGGCACCCTCTATGCGGGCACACCTGCACGCATGCGCACACCATCGCACACAGACACCAGCCACGCTGCCCCCAGCCCGTGCCGCACCCCGGCACCTCCTCCTCTGCGGAGCCCTCTCCCTTTCTGCTGTCCCGGCTGTGGGTCAGTTTGGACCCGGAGCTGGTTCTATAGCCACAACACACTTGGAGTCCTGCAGGGAGTGAGGGGAAAGCCCGGGACTCTGCAGCAGGGGCAGACCCCCAACCTGTAGAAAAGGAGAGTGAGTCAGAGCTGGAGGTGGAGGAGGGGCCCAGGGCTCTGGCTTCCGGACCTTGCCTGGAACTCCCCAAAGCCCCAGTGGCATGCTCAGGGTCCGGCGGGCGCTGTAGCCCAGGATAGGGCAGTCCTCTGGAGAGTGACTGAGAAGAGAGCAAGAGCCAGCATGCAGCTTGCATGGCACCCACTGCATGGACCCCTGTGCATGTGGTTCTGGGCATCGGGGGAAGAGATCCTTCATGTACCCCATCTCCCCAGGTGCCCAGGTGGGTGTGCCTGACCTGAGTGAGGATTTAGAAAGATCCGTGTTCTCAGTGGAACTTGCTGGTATAAGCCATCCCAGAAAAGGCACAGACAGCTAGCCCTGCCTCTGTTAAGCTCAGATGTTAGCCCTTCTCTTCCTCTGAGTCACACACACACAGCTCCCTCCGCCGCCCTCTCCAAGCTGCACCAGCACATCATGCCCAGCAGAGGGCACTGGTGGACCTCTCCCAGAAGTTCCCTCCGAAGCCTCCCGTGGTCCCTGTCTATGGTAGACTATTCCAGCTCCTCCTTCCCCGCACCAGCCCCAGCCAGCCCAGAGGGAGAGAAGTCTGGGCTGACAAGGACTTCCGGCACAGGCTGGGGCTGTCCCCGCCTCCTGACCCCACCTGCGCTTCTGCCCTGGATCCCTGTGTGTCTGCATGCCATGGTGTCCCCGGTGTGCGGGCTCCTTCACAGCCACCTGAGCAACTTACTGTGTGTTGTGTCCGCTCCTGCAAGTGCAATTACATGTGCATCAGAGCTGCTGAATGTCAGGGCAGAGGGGAATAAACCTGCTTGGCCCCGAGTGTGTCTGGGCAGGAGGAGTGAGCCCACTTCTGAGACTTCCCAGAGAGCCAGCCACTCCACCAGATGGGAAAACTGGCCTGTGCCCCGCACCAGAAAGAAACCAGATGGCGCATCAAATGAACACCAGGCCAAGGCCTTCTGGACACAGATTTCCCCTGCTTCTCCTTTCTGAGCCTCTGAGTTTTCATGAGGATCCACGAAACACAGAGGGAGGACCTAACACTCAGTCGCCTTTGACATGGGAGAGGGTGAAGCCACTGGGGCTCAGAAAGCCCACCTCCCTTGGGAAGGCTCCTCCCCTCCAGCCTGCCCCAAGCTGCCCCTTTACAGGGCCCTGGCCCATCCCAGCGGGCTCAGCTGGCTGCAATGCCTTCTCTCTGGGACAGGCCCAGGGTTCGTGGCTCTGCTACCTGTCCTGCGTGTGCGGTTGGTGTCCGTGTCCCGTAGGGTAGATCTGCGCCATATCGCTTCATGTAAACCTCCTCGTACAGTGCATGTTGCTTCTTGCTGAGGGATGGAGGGGGGTGGCCCGGGCGCCCTTGCCCCACCTGGACAGCTTCGTACCGCAGGGCAGCCACCCCCATCCTCCCCTTCCCGTGTGTGCGCACACGCGTGTGCACGCAGTGACTGAGCTGCCATGCTGTCTTCGTGCGATGCCCCCTCACCTCCAGCCTGTCCACATCAGAGCGGGCCTGGTAAAAGCCAGTCCCCTCCTTCCGGTAAGTACGTGGAGACTGGGAAAGAAACACAAGTGTCACTGGGCCTCTGGGTTCTGGTCCCTCCTTCTGTTGGGAACTTCCGAGGGGTTATAGATGATTCCTCTGAGTTTCCCCCCCAGGGAGGTGACTTCCCAATGCCCTCTGGTCATTTCAGCTCTAAAGGGCCAGCATGGTTTGCCAGGAACCAGCTGGTGTGAGGCTGGAATGGGGAAGAGGAGGCTGGGATGTCTCCTTTTGTCCCCGTCTGAGAAGAGGCTGGGTTGGATCTGTACTGCTACCCCGGGTAGTGCCCATAAAGGGGCCTGGTGGTGGCTTCTCTGTGCCTGGGGCAGCAGCAAGCTGGCAGACCTGCCCAGAGCCTAGTATACAAGGACTCCTGGCCTGGGATGTCCTTACCCTGACACCCTCACCTGATGCACCTCCCCCTTACCTGAGTGCATGGCCCCCAAGAAGGGCTTAGAGGTCCTGCTGAGTGTCCCGCATCTCTCGGACTCCCCAGTGTAGCATCTGTGGTGAGAGGTTTTCCCTGGGAGGGGCAGTGGGTTTCTGTGGCGCTGGAGAGGACTCCCAGGCTGCAGCCTCTCCTGCACACATCCTACACACAGTGCCTGTTTCCGGTTGGCGGGAGGGAGAGGGGGGTAGGAAGAGGCATCAGCTCTAGGAACATGCCAGGCAGGCAGGGCTGCTGATGACAGGAGTGACGTCCCTCTAAGGGGTCAGTGCTCCCAGGGGCTGTGATAACCGGGAGTCTCCTTCACTGGGACAAGTGCACCCCGTGAGCCTCCAAGCCACCCTGAGATCCAGGCTGCTCCTGGGATGCAAGGCCACCTGGATGCCATTCAGCAGCAGCCTTCAGCGGTGGTCAGGAAAGCTGTCTCGTAAGGGTGGCTCCCAGACACAGGGCTCCCAAGGCTGCCTGCAAAGCCAGCTTCCCTGGAGGTCTCAGGAGGCTGAACACAGGGAGTCAGGGCTCCCAGATCCCTTGCCTCTCCTTGCCATGGTCTTGGGTTTGTTTGGCTTTGGGGAAGTAACCAGCCCTTGCGAATGTGGGGGCAATGATCCAGAAGCTGTGTAAGCACAAGGTTTGCAATCTTCATGCATGGTCTGGCTGGCTGTGTCTGCTGTCACCCCTTAAACACCCCACAGCAGCCTCGCTGGAAGCAGCAGTGGGCGCTTTAGTCAGCAGCCAGGGCTGGGCTGTGACATCCTCAGAGGGAAGTGCTACAGGTGTGGAGACAGCAGCTGTTTCTCCTTGCCTGAACAAGCTTCCCCAGTCCTGTCCTCCCCCGTAAGAGCGGCTTTTTCAGACATTTTGCAGCGAATGCAGATTCCACGTTTGTTCTTAATGGGCAGACCCAGCCTAGAAAGGATGTCAGCATTCTCCCAACTGGGCGTGTCCCTGTCTCCTCAGGGTGCCTGAGTCAGAGTGGCAGGGGTGTGGCACCCTGCCTGGCTCCCTGGAGAAACCTGCTCGAGGCTCTTTCTGGTTATTTGCCCACTGCTGGGTGTGCCCAGCTCTCTGCGATGGTCAGACGCAATCTTCCTGCTCCAGAGATCCTTCCCAAGTTTGTTCTGGGAAGCTGTGTTTCAGGGCAGCTCAGATACTGATGGACTCAGGATGAGACAGCTAACATTGGCGGCATCTCACAAGTGGGTTCGGAGGGACAGCTGGACCACTGGGGAGCTGACCTGCCTGCAGGGCTGGGCATCTTCTAATTCTCTCCGGTCTTTCTACTGCTGAGTGGCCCGACCCAGGTCACCAAGAGATTGAGCAGCCACCAGCTCCTGCAGGACAGGGACCCGAGGAGACCACACACACGGCGGGCATGGTGGGAACCCCTACCTCCCTGTCCTCTGGGCCTGGTCTTCTTCCTCCAGGTCTGGGGGAGCCTGAAAGCTGCCGCTCCCCTTCACACTTACCCACTTACCTGGTGGCCTTGTGTCCTGCATCCCCACCTCTCCTCTTGCCCGAGCCCCCAGCTGCCATCTTGGATTGCTAGCAGAACCTCAGGCTGCAGCACTGCGCAGCTCCCCGTGCCATTTCTTGTGAGAGCCCCTCACCATCTCCTGCCACTGTCCCCCCAGCCTGCACTCCTCCCTGGCCCTTTCCTCCTATTCTGCAAAGGCTCTGCTTTCTTGTGTGGGGCATTTGTCTCTGGTGCCCTCCGTCACCACCTCTTCATCTCCGATCTCTTCGGTTGCTTTCAGTTCAGCAAACCATGATTTTCCTGCACGCAGCTGTCTGAACAGTCTTCCCACCCCACCTCCACAGCCCCTCACTTGGAGCACGGCTGGGGGAAGGGAAGTGTCTTCAGCAGCCAGCGTGGCCGGCTGTGCCCACCCCACCATCACCCAGCACGGTTGGCTACCTGGGCCTCTGACGGTGGGACTGGTCTGGCCTCGGGCCCTCCCCGTTCCGGCCCCTTCCAGGGCAGCCCTGATGTGATCACGGCCAACCGCGTGTCTTACATAAGCTGGGTACATCTCGCTGAGACCACGAGCCATCGGGGAGGTGCTTTCCTCTGAAGTGACGACACCGGCCCCCCGCACAGCAGGACCTGTTAGGAAAAGCACAAGGTTTGGGGCCAGACAGACCTCAGCCCCCACCTTCCTTTACTAGATGCCTGGCCCTGACTGAGGTCCCCCCACCCAACCCCCTCACCTGTAGCATGGGCGGCAGCTGTCCCTGCCCTGCAGGAAGGCTGTGAGGATTGGAAGAGGGAATGTAGATGATGCATCTGGCTCTTGGAGGTGACATTTAAGTCCCCTTTGTTTGCTCTCCCTCCCCACCCCCAGCCCTTCTCTAAGAGAAGCGTCCTCTGCCAGATGTGGCCAAACCACAGCCCACAGGTTGGACAGACCTCACTTGCCTAGGCCGTCTTGAATAAAGAGGAATTGTCTTGGACCACATACAAAATATATAATAATGTGAATGCATATAAGTAACAAAACTTCCATTTAAACTTGTTTTATTATAACATTTTTTAAAGAAGAGGGCCAGCAGCCCTCCATGGGCTGTGTGTTGGACACACCTTCTGCATGGACTCTAACACCGCCTGTCCCTCCCAAGCCAGGCACCTGGAGACCCCTCTACGCACGCCCTGGGCTCCTGTCATAACTCACTGCTTGCCTAAGTCAGGCCTCCTGTCTCTGAGGTGCAACCTGGTTCTCATCAGCATTGCCGTAGAGAGAAGACCCTGGTGCTCGTGCTCCTTCACTTGTGAAAATGTCTTAGTTCTCCGAGCATCTCCAGAACCTCCCAGAGGCCCGGGGTGCCCCGGCCCAGTTATTTTGGCTGGCGCTGTGCAGTCCCCTGTACCATCCGCTGACTGAACCTGGAAACGCACCTCAGCTCTTTAGTCCTGAGAAGAAATTTGCCCATCCTGACTGTCCAGATCCTCTGCGGAGAGGACTCTCCAGCCTCTGGCTGCTTCCCCTACAGAAGCCAGTTTCCTAGGGAGGCAGGGCTCACGTCTCTGTGAAGATTCTCAGCCTGCCGCCGTCGCCGTTTGACCTCCATCCTGTGAGGTCCGACAGGGCGCTGCTGAGTCCTTCCACCGCTGCTGTCCCTCAACCCTAGCAGCCGAGGACAGCCCTCTGACTCGGCCCAGTGGCTGGCACACATGCCCTCTGCTCTGAGGCCTCCCCTACTGTTCCCTAGGTTGGAGAGCCAGGCTGTGCCGCGGGCCGTGCCCCTTCTTACTCCAGTCCCAGCCTGGCCACTTGCGCTCATGTTCTCACAGCTGTTTATGGTCTGGATTCCTTGCCCCCCGCCAGCCCAGCGCTCAGGATTTCCTCCTCCTGAAGGCTGTCCCAGCTCCTTAGCCACATCCTATGCTGAGCGGTGCATATGGGGTGGCAGCTGGTTTCCACGGTACATCAGAGGACAGTTAGGGGCTCAGACCTTCTCGGCCCATGCCTGCCTGTCCTGCTGTCTGTGAAAGAGGCAGGAACTAGTTCTCAACACCTTGGCTTCACCGTCACACCTCAGCAGGTTCGAAGCCCCGGGCACCCTCCGCGCCTGACGAGCCTGCACGCCCAGCCCCAGCCAGCAGCCCCACGCCACACCCCTTCATGCGTGAGGGCTTTGTGTGGACAGGGAAGCAGAGGCTGTGGGTTCTTGCTTTAGCTCTGCTCCTAACCCGCTCTGAGGTCCCAGCAGTCCCTGGGCGGCGCCCACTTTCCCCATCAGTGACAGGAGGGACTGAATCAGAGACCCCTGAAGGCCCCGTCAGCACCAGAATTCTGAGCTCTCTTCTCACATTAGCTTCGTCTGGGCCACCTCAACCAGGTCCTGCTTCCCTCCAAGGACCCCACAGCTGACTGTACCAGTGTCACCCTCCCAAAGGCATGGCTCCAAGGGGAAGTCCCCAGGACAGCTCCTTGCCCTTGCCAACTACAAAACAAAGTCTCTGCACCCACACCCTGCCCCCCGCACAGCTGTGTGCAAGATTTACCTGAGGGAGTGAGGTGCCCCTTCCACCTGCCCTCCACTGTCTTGTGAACTTTCCCTCTGCAACCAGAACCCCAAGAGTGATTTTTTTTTTTGTATCAGGGATCAAACTTAGGACCTTGAGCTTGCCAGGCAGGTACAGTGCCCCTGAGCTAAATCCCCAGCTCCCAAGATTGATTTTTGTTGTTGTTGTTTTTGTTTTTGAGATAGGCTCTCACTATGTAGTTGAGACTGACCTAGAACTATGCAGCCCAGGCTGGTCTTGAACTCACAGAGATCCTCCTGCCTCAGCTTCCCAGGTGCTAGGATTACAGGCATGCACCACTATGACTGGCTCCAAGACTGATTTTTTAAAAGCTGGTTGCTTCAGAAAAGGATTTGACCACCTAGATATATGTCTAGTCATAGTCTTCCTCAAAGTCTTTTTTTTTTTTTTGGCAGGGGTGGGAATGGAAAGACAGGGTCTTACTACCTCAAATTTCTGATCTTCCTGCCTCAGCTTCCTGCATGCTGAGATTATGTGCTGTATACACACCTGGCTTCACAGCCTTCTTTTTATAAAGTTGTGAGCTCTTCATGAAAATCCAGTTCTGAATGATCAGAGCCTTCCACTTGTGCCCTGGTGTCCCATAACCTGTGGAGTGACTTCAGCTTCACCGACTCGGATGCCACCCCCTAATCGCCCCTGCAAGCTTTGTGGGCCTCAGGCTGTCTCGGTGCTGCCCTGCAGGGCTCGCGTGTGCACGCTGTGGTGCCTCCAGTGGTCGCCCTAACTGAAAGGAGGCCCCCAGCACTTTGTGCTGCGGGCAGGGGGCATTTAGATGTCAGTCACACACACACACTGCTCAGCAGAGCCCCAGGAGGGAGGCAGCGGTGGGACAGAGTGAAGGATCCCAAGAAAGCCAGCAGCTGCAGACACTGCCACCAGTAAAGGCCGCACCAGGTGGTTTGGTGACTTGCTGGATTCTGTCTAGAAGGGGTCCAGGCTGCCTGGACACCTTAACACATACACACACGCACCGCAGGATGCACAGAGATCAAAGTGGCACAGCCACAACCTCGAGAGCTCTAAAGAATGGCAATGGGACTAAAACTCAGGCCTGTCCCGGTCTGCAGTCCAGCTCTGTTTCAGTTCTGGCGCACGTGTTCCTAATTACATCCCCATTTTTTGTTTGCTTTCTCTTGTTTGAGACAGGGTCTGGCTTTGTAGCTCAGGCCGGTCTTGAACTCACTATGTAACCCAGGCTGGCCTCGAACTCACAGCGATCCTCCTGCCTCAGCCTCCCGAGTGTTGAGATTGTAGGTTGTCACCACGCCTGGCTCCTATACCTATGTGTGACTTTGGGAAGTCACTTGCTCTCCGTGAGCGTTGGTTTTCTCATTACACATAGAAAATACCAGACTGGGTTGATGGGTTCTACATAGTTCCAGCCACATTACCCTTTCGGTACATGAGATCTTACCAGGATCTTAACCACCCCCAGCCCACCTATACATACCCATTGCCAAGTGTCCTGGTTTGATGCCCAGCCTTACCTTCCTTCCGACCACTGCCTTCAGACTTGTTACCAAGTCCCCTCACCCTCCTTAATGCCACTTCAGGCACGGCTCTGGTCACTTCTACTGTTCAAGTTTACCCACTGGGTGTACTGGGCGAGTCCCTGTAATCCCAGCTGTGTGAGAGGCTGAGGCAGGAGGATCAAGAGTTTGAGGCCAAAGGGGCTAAGGATTTGGCTCAGTGGTTCTGCTGCCTGCTTCGCAAGTGTAAGGGCCCAAGTTCCACCCCCAGTGCCAAAAAAAAAAAAAAGTTTGAGGCCAGTGTGGGCAACTTAGGGAGACCTTTAAAAATCAGCTTACATCGTTTTTTCAGTCTGATCGCTAAGGTGCTGCCCACGTCTCCCCAACCTCCATCCTGCTCCTGCAGGTCTGGCCTACGTCCTAGAGGATGCACTATGAAGAGAACAGAGCTGGCTCTTTCCTGGGGCCTTTGCCCGCCTCCCCAACCATCTCCTAGGCCTCACACCCTTGCTGGGGCAGGGAGGGGGGCGCAGAGGAAAGAGCAGAGGCCCTTGACTGCCTGGGGCCGCTCTGGTCCTCACCCGGCATCCGTATCTCTGGTCCTTCAGGCATCCGAAGGTGGCTGGGGGCCTTCCTGCTGCGTGCTCCAAGGTCTCCAGCAGCAGGGTGCCAAGGACAGCGCTGGCCCATGGCCCATGGCTGCCTGTCTTGGTGCTTACAGCACCTCAATCGCCCACCATCCTTGCCCCCCTGGCAGTTGCTGGCTGACCCCTGCCACCCCTACCTGTCTCGCTGTCTTCCTTCTGCTGCACCAGGCACAAGGGCAGGCCAGTGAGGCTTCTGCATGAGGAGATGTCCAGCCAGGGATCAGGAGCTCTCATGTCTTCTCCTGGGTCCCTGTGCGAACGCGAGCAGCTCCTTTCAAGTCTCATTTGGCCTGGGCAGGGGCTGGGGAGCAGTGGGAGGAAAGTCCCAAGCACGTCCCCAAGACATTGACCGCTGGTGCCAGCGATTCTCAGTCCTACTGCATGGTAGAGTCACGAAATGCTAACCAAGAAATACCAGCATGCCGGCCCCTCCCGGTGGGCTACCGTCTTGTGGGAGGGGCCTGAGAATATTGTAAAGCTCTTGAGATTGTCAAAGGCAGCCAGGGCTAGGAGCCACTTCCCTATCCCAGTAATAAATCCCACTCAGTGGTGGAAGAGGGGCCTGTTAGCCTGATGAAGGCCCACGAGGAGCTGGAATCTCACTTTGTAAAGTCAGGGAGAAGACTGGTGCCCTTAGCTTTAGGGCTTTGGCCACAGTCTGAAGGTACCAGAGAGTTCCCATTAACACCCTAGTCCGAGTGCTTTACAAACTTGTCTTAGCCACAGAGCCCTTCTTTAAATGAAATCTTGCCAGAGCCCCAGAGGCCACGCAACCTGGGGAAGCACAGGTGGGCCTGGAGCTGGGCCCTGCTCGGGAGCTTCGCCAGCGGTCTCGGGAAGTGCCCTGGATATAACAATGCCTCGGGTCCCCCGGCACCCTCTGTGAACCTTGTTGCTATGTCAGATTGCAGATGGGTGGAGGAGGTGGGGATGGAGCTGGGGCAAGGGCAGAGGCAGAGGCAGGGCCAGGGGCCAGGGTAGGCACAGAAGGTGCAAGGCAGAAGGAAGCAGGCTCAGGTCTGGGCCCAGACAAGAAAGGCCGTCCCTAGGCTGGAGCCCCGAGAAATGTGTGCTCCTCCCCTGTGCCCCTGAATAGGGGGAAGAAGAGCAGTCACGGCCTCAGGACCTGCAGCCACCACCCCTGCCAGGGCAGCGTGACAAGTCCAGCGGGGATGACAGGCCTGCCACAGAGCCCCTCTTTAAGGTCCTGGACACGCCTCTGAGTGAGGGTGATGAGCCCACAACGCTGCCAGCCCAGCTGGACCACGGGCACAGCGTACAGATGGAAGGCTACCTGGGCCGCAAGCACGACCTGGAAGGACCCAACAAGAAGGCGTCCAACAGGTGTGTGGGGAGGGGCAGGCCCAGGGTGCCATGGGATTGGCCAGCCCAGGACTGCTGGGCATGACAGGAAAAGCCCATCTCGGTTCTGTCATGGGCAGAGCTGCACACACACCACTCAAACCCTGTTTCCCCATTTGCAAAATGAGGATGCTGACAATCTCAGGCCTGTGCTGCACAGGTTCTGTGCCTGGTCCTGAGTACGCCTTGGTAGACACAGGCCAAGGATGGTCCAGCTATGCCAGGACTTGGCCATGCCCCACTTACACGGGTCTGGGCCTCAGTGTCCTCTGCTGTAAAACGGAACACTGGGTTAGGGGCATGACCTAGATGCCTTTCAGATAAGATTGGATTTGTTTTTTTTGGTTGTTTGTTTGTTTGTTTGTTGTTTTTTTGTACCGGGGATTGAACTCGGGTCCTTGCGCTTGCAAGGCAGGGCACCGAACCGCTGAGCTACATCCCCGGCCCCCAGATTGGATTTGTGTAAATCTGTTTCTTTACAAATAACTGAGAAAGTATACTGGGCACATCATTAAAACGGAAATCACAGTAATCATCAAAACCAAACCCTATTCATTTCACAGTTCTATAGTGAATAAATCTCTAATGGATGTAGAAATACTTCAAAAACTCAAGTTTACAGTTTGTCTTAAGACTATAATTACTGTCAAGCATGGTGGCACACGCCTGTAATCCCAGCACTCGGGAGGCTGAGGCAGGAGGATCACTGTGAGTTTGAGACCAGCCTGGGCTACAGTTCCAGGTCAGTCTCAACTACATAGTGATACCCTGTCTCAAAAAACCAAAACAAAAAAAAATAATTATTTTTCTAGAAATGTATCTCAAGGTAAGAGCAGAATTATAGACAAAGACTTATAAATATGAATGTTCACCACATTGATATTTGTTTATATTTTTAGGGTACCAGGGATCAAACTCAGGACCTCGCAATTGCTAGGCAGGCAGCAGAAACACTGAGCTAAGTCCCTGGTCCACATTGCTAAATTATATAAATTTTCCAGTATTATAAGGTCCACCAATAAAGGTATTGTGTGTGGCCACTGAATATATAGTATATTCTGATGTTGGATATGTGCGGAGAAAAAAAGTAAAATTACATTCACATTACGTTTGCACCCTCCTCTCTTTCCAATACTGGGAAGAGAACCCAGGGATTTTTTAAATTGTTTTTATGTTGAGACGAGAGGCTTGCTAAATCATTAAGTTGCCCACGGTGGGCTCACACTTGTGATCCTCCTACGTCAGCCTACCAGAGTGCTGGGATCACAGGAAAGGAGCCGCCCACACCTCGCTTTAAACAACAAAACTCTGGGGGCAAAAATGACACACAAAAAAAGAAACTAATAAAGCTACAGGAACTGACTGTGGAGCCCTTGTCAGGACTGAGTGACCTGCCTGTCCCCGTGTCACAGGTCCTGGAACAACCTCTACTGCGTGCTCAGGAACAGCGAGCTGACCTTCTACAAGGACGCCAAGAACCTAGCTCTGGGGGTGCCCTACCATGGGGAGGAGCCCCTGGCCCTGCGTCACGCCATCTGTGAGGTTGCTGCCAGCTACAAGAAGAAGAAGCATGTCTTCAAGCTGAGGTGAGGCTTCCCGCCCTGGAGTCCTTGGAGCCGCTGGCTGAGGGCCTCATTTGGCACAGTGGTTGGGCAGAGGCCCACAAAAGGGGACCAGCTCCCCTTGGAGCTGCTGCTCGCAGGTTTCTCAAATCTGTTCTCTGCCATCTCAGAAAGTGCTGTGCTTGGGGACCAAGCCCAGGGGGTTGGGTCCCAGCCCGCCCTCTGCCGGTACAGGCTCCATGACAGGAAACCTTTGTCCTCCTAGGCTGAGCAACGGCAGCGAGTGGCTCTTCCACGGCAAGGATGAGGTAAGAGCCCGGGGCCCAGCTCAGCAGAGGGTGGGTGGAGACCCCCGCCTGGGGTGGTGCTGACTCTGCGGCCCCACAGGAGGAGATGCTGTCCTGGCTGCAAGGCATGAGCATGGCCATTAACGAGTCCCAGAGCATCCGCACCAAGGCGCAGAGCCTGCCCCTGCCCTCCCTCACCGGGCCCGACGTCAGCCTCGGCAAGAAGGACAAGGAAAAGAGATTCAGCTTCTTCCCCAAAAAGAAGTAGCAGCAAGCGGCCCTGCGGGTGGGGACACGCAGGGACCAGGGCCACTGCCCCGTCCTCCTCCCGCCCGCACCTGTCTGCTCACCGCCCTCGGGGCCGACACACTGCAGTGCTGCTGCCAGCACGCCCTCCCCCCAGCTGGCGGGTTCTCCCTTCTCCCCAAAAGCTGGAATGGGCTATGGGGCTCCTGGACTGTCCACTCCCACGGCAAGCCTTGCTTGGGGTTACGGCCCACTCGGCCATAGCCAGGGAAAGGGTAAGGGGAGAGGGACTTGGGGCAACTGACCTGTCCCCTAGGAGCAAGGTGCTGCTAGGGACTGATCGGACAAGGGCCGCAGGCCTGGGTGTGGCCAGCAGCCTCCCCACTGGCTTCTTCAGAACAGGCCTCCCTTCCCAGGGCCTGTGTGCCCCTTCCTCTCCCCTTTTCACCAGAAGGCAGAGCCCCCTGGCCCTGTTTAGTGGGTCCTGGATGAAGAGCCTCCAGCTGCCCGGGCAGAGCATAAGGAGGAAGGACCAGCAGCTCTCACACCATTCCTCCAAAAGCCCTGGTTAGAGCGTGGGGCTCGGGGCTCAGAGGGAAGGAGGGTCAGACAGGTCCCCTGTGCAGAGCCCTCTGGCCAAGCCCAGGAGCGGCTGAACGAGCAACAGTGAGCAGTGTAGGCCCCTTATGCAACACGGAGTAAAGCATCCCAGAGCCAATGCCTGCTGTGTCCGGCCTGTCTACAGCCCCTCCCGCCCAGGGCTACTGACTGGGCAGAGAACAGTTACCACCCGGTGTGTATCGCCATCATGCGACACATCTACCCCTGAACAGCTGGGATTGAAAGCTGGGCCAGAGCCACGAGGGTGTGGCCCTTCTTGATCAGGTCCCGAAGGTCTGGCCTGAGGTTCTGGGTGTCACATACAGAGGTCACCAAACATCTACCACCCTCGAGCACCAAAAGGGATGCTTCAGTCTGGCCCCAGGAAGAGACGCCCGGTGCTTCTGGAAGGGGGCTCCACTGGACCCCCTTAGTGCCGACCAGGGCTCCATGAGGACTTTCCCCGCCACCGTACTCTGAAAGCAGTACAGCTTCAGCTTTCCTCACCCGGCCATAGCCGAGAGGGGCCATGTTGGGGACGGCAGGTGTGTTCTGAGGGAGGCCATGAGGGTCCCCAGGGCCCACAGCCAGTTTCCGGGGCCTTCCCTGTGGGAAGGAGCCTTGGCTGTGTGGAGAGGAGTCTGGTGAGGCTCGCGGAGAAGCCATGGGGGAGGCACCCAGTGTTACAGACCTCCCGGGATCCCTGCGCACTGTCAAGTGACGCCAGCGCCAGTGACAGGAAGCACAGCAGAGAAGTAGCCAGTGGAGCCTGACATCCCCAGGTCCGGTGTTCCACCTCCGTAGCCAGGGTCTTCATTTGGCCTCAACTGTAGGACTCTGTAGCCCTCTGCTTCTACAGGGAACCCAGTGTGTAGCATTCACCAGCCTTTCTCCAGCCGGGGAAACCAAGACGAGAGGCAGATTGGTGACTATACTCACCTGTGCACCCGAGAGCATGTCCACCTCTAGGGCAGACCGCAGGCTCCTTGCTGAGGGGTGGAAGGTCCCAAGCAGCTCTCGGCTGTTCCCTTGGACCAGTCTTTAGGGAGCCAAGATATGAGGGTCGACCCTCTCCCCTCCAAGGGGCCCAAGTAGCACCTAAAGTGAGACATTTCCAGTGGGTGACTCCACAGAGCTTAGAAACTGAGCTCCAATGGAAGAGCTAGGATTTCACCACCCCAAGTCCCCAGACTGGGCAAGGGCAGCCAGCTGCATGCAGACCCATCACCTCCCGCCAGCTCCCCACACATCTACCCATGTCACCCAGGTCCCAAGACACCCAACCAACTGGACTGACACTGCAGGTGCCCACCTTCGGGAGACCCTGTGCCACTCTAGCGCTAAGCTCTCCTGGTGCCCTGGCACTGTATCTTTTCCTTCCGTCCTTCCTTTTCCCCCCTCACATTCCCTACTTTGCAGTCTTTTCCTCACAGTATTCCTAGATTGGCACAGCTCCAGCCCACACCAGCATAAGACTTCCTCCTGGGATCCATCTACAGGAAGCTCTTCCGGGCTTGGTCGGGCAGTCCTGCTTTCCTCTCCTTCCCTGTCTCAGACTCCGGCTGAGGGCAAAACCGGAGGCACCTGGGATTCCCAGCCCCACCTACCTCCTGCAGTAACAAACAGGAGGCCCGTGACAGGCTTGGCTTCCCGACTCCACTCCGGTCTGTCTGGGAGCAGCCAGGTCCCCTTGGCTGATCCTGGGTCCCCTTCCTCCATCAGTGGGAGGAAGCAGAGATCCAGAGGAGGATGCGGCCAGCAGGCCACACAGCTTGGTCCCTTGGTCAATCAAGCTCAGGGAGCACTCAGAAGAGGTGACCTCCGAGGAGTGCGACCCCGTTGGACAGACCATGTCATCTGGGGCTGGCCCCGGGGCCGGCTGGGCCTCGCCCACCACCTGCTCACACGTGCTTCCACCACCCAGAGGACACTCATTTACTAGTTTTTCTAATAAATCAGTAATGCTCTACCTTTGTCTGTTTCCCTTTAAACAAGGCACTACAAGACTGAGGGATGGCCACTCTGGCTTGCTCCTGGCCCTGAGCCCCACCTGAGGCCCTGAGACAAACTTGATCATCTTCTGTGCATTCTGTCAACCTGAAGGCCTGGTGTGGGGCAAAGTCACTGGCCAAGATCAGTCTAGGCCTTTCCTATGGGCACTCTGGACTGAGATCCCAGCCCTCAGTCTGTGCCTGGGGACCCATCTGAGGAGGGGAAATTTCATGTGTCTTGGGGGGATGAATCATAGGCACTGCCTGGCTTCAGGTGGTTCCCAGATTCTAAGGGGCATCCAGTGACAATGCTGCCCTGTCCCATGGTCCCCAGATGGGTGTGGGATGGCACAGGGAGAGGGCTGGACAGCTACAACTCTCTACCCCATCCCCAAAGAGTGATGGGGGATTGAGAAACAAACTGTCCTCTATAGATGAAGAAAAGGCAAGAATCACGGTGACTCAGCTGACTGGTGGCAAGGCTGGGACAAGAATTCAAGTCACCTGTCCAATGCACTTGTGGTACCTGGCATTTGCATCCCAGGACTGACCTGGTAGGAGCTGGGGGTGTTTTCAGTGCCTGTGGAAGTTTCCACAGAAGACACAGGACAAAGCTGGGCATGACAGTGCCTGCCTGTGATTTCAGCATTTGGGAGGCTGAGGCAGGAGGATCAAGGAGTTTTAGACCAGCCTGAAGAACATGGTGAGTTCAAAGCCTGCCTAGACTCAAGGGAGACCTTATCTCAAAAAAGCAGGGCAGCTGGTAGAACATGGGCTAGCTCTGCCGTGCTGCTTCTGCAAAAGGGACCACCACTCACCTCCGATCTTCCTTGGCCCTGTGAGGTTCAGTTCAGGCTGAGTCCATCCTCCTAGGTCGGAAGACTCAGAGGCCCTGACCCTGCAGACCTGCTGGCAAACTTACCAGAGCACTCGACCAGCTGGGCCCTACAGTCCCTCCCTTCCTGGCCACAGCCAGAACCAACCACGCAAAATAAGGCTGGTCTTCCATGGAGAAAGCAGAAAATCACAATTAGCGATAGAGAGGTATTCCTGGCATTTCCTCCCTCATAGTACTGAGGATTGAACCCCAGGGGTGCCATCAGGGGTAACCCAAATATACAACGAATGCTTAAGTTTTTAAAATTGCAATGAAAGTATATAACTATTTATCCCCCTCAAGACTGCCCCTTGCTTCAAACACACCCCCCACCGTTCCTGCCACTTCCCGAAGCAGTTCTAGAAGTCCTTTCATGTGTCTTTACAATGTGTGATCAAAAACACACTGAATGCTCAGCCATGTGCCGTCCAGTGGGAAAGTGGCTCATAAAAACATCACGGTGCGGCCTCATCCACCTCATTCACTGGTCCTGGCACACTGTGCAACTTCTGGCTCTTTACCAGAGTCAAAATGACCATTGAAAGAAAATATTTTGAATCGATTCAGGACATCGAAACAGCCACAGCAGCAGAACTGAGATGCTCAGGAAGGAGGGGTCTCAGAACTGCTTCAGAAAGTGGCGGGGATAATGGGGTGTGCTTGAAGTGAGGGGGAGCATTGGAGGAGGATTAAAAACAGCGTGTTTCTTACTGTAATAATTTTTTTTTAAAATGTCTCTTAAAATCACAGTATTCTACTGATTGTACCCTATCCCTCTCCAGCTTTGTATTTTTTATTTTGAGACAAGCTCTTGCTAAACTGCCCCAAGCTGGTGCCCTGGAGACTTCTGTCTCCTGAGCCCAGATGATGAATGAGGTAGAAAACCTGGTTTCCCCGAGTCAGAGCAACAACCCCCGCACCCCAGTAAGGAGGCCACACGCAGGTCAGTTGGTCAGCAGTGGTTATTGCACCATTGGCAAATAATGAAACGTGTACATTAGCGACAACAGCAGGGTCAGCAACAACCCTCCAAAGTACCTGCGCTAAGTCCATTCCATTCTTCACAGGAGGGGAATAAACAACAGGAGGACACACACACACTCACGCACGCACACACACACCACAGGATGAAAAGCAATAAATTACTGGCCTCATTTCTGCCCGAGTCCTAAGAAAAGACACAGTTAAAGAGCAAAGCCTGTCCAGGCTGCTTCCTGGGTCTCCCCTGGGTCCTCAGCCTGACAGTGAGCAGCCAAAACCGGAGGCCTGAGCAGCGCTTCCTCTCCCTGGCCGAGGTGAGCTTAAATACCTGGCTTCTCACCAGAGAACTATTTACAAGGGAGGTGGCCACACCAGCCTCTGGGGGTGCTGAGAATAGCTCATCTGGACCTGAGAAAAGTTGTCACAAGCCCCAGGGGGCGCCAGGTGTAGGGGAGGCCACACACTCACGCCAGAGCCCTCTTCCAGGACAAGAGGGGGTTCTTCTCCATCCCAACAGGGCTCCTCCCTCCACAGGAGTCAGTCAACCCACAGAGTTCAAAGCCTGGAATTTTTCTCTCAGGTTTCTCACTCGGCCCTGCTTGCTTGGGCCTGCTGGGTCCCTGGGATCGTTTTCCTTCGGCCAGTGCTCCGAAGACTCCTGGGAATCTTGACCCTGTTCCTCCACGGCCTCTGGTGAACCTGATTCCTGTGTGCTGCCCTCCTCCTCCTCAGGCCCCGAAGCAGGCCTGGGAAGCGGCCTCTTCTCCAGGACAATCACCCGCTGGTTGTTGTCCAGGGTGAGGTCTGCGGTGACATACAGGGCTTCTCCTCCATTCAGCCCACTTTGGGTCTGCGGCCCAGGAGGCGGGGACTGGGCAGCCTCTCCACCTCCCTGGCTGCTCCTGGTGCTCAGGCTGCAACAGCGGCCCACCCTGCCCGACACAGGAGGCTGCACCGTGATCTCAGGGACTGAGCGACTCCGGTTGACCGGCGGGGCACGAGGCCGACTGCCCTCGGTCTGGGCAGCCCAGTCGTGGGCGTACTTGGAGCACAGCTCTCGGACATCGGGCCAGTGGAAGGTCTCGGCATCAAAGGGGCTCAGCCGGGCCCCGGGTGAGGTGGTCTTCACGCTGGCCGCAGAGGGGCTGAAGGAAAAGCGTCGTGGCGACGTCTCCCCAGCAGAGGAAGGTTTGCGGGGGCTGTGCTCCTGGGCCATCAGCTGCTCGCAGCTGAGGAGGGACAGCACGGGCTTCCTCTGGCCTGTGAGGAGAGAAAAGGCCAGCTGAATCGCTCTGCAGGAGGCACAACCAGGGACAGAGGCCTCCATCTGTCTCCTTAGCTCTTGCTCCAGACAAGGCTGGAGCCGGGGTTTTGCATGTGAAGGAAGAGAAATCCAATTTACCAGCTACTCCCCACAGTCAAAGGGGGATGGGGAGAAGGAAGAAAAGGAAGTGAGGGAATGGGGGAAGGGATCAAAGGGAATGAGGAGAGGCTGTGCTTCCGTCCCTCCCTGTTCCCTCTGCTCCAGAGGGAGGGCTGAGGGCGGGCACTGAAGGGCTCCACGGAGTGCAGGGTCGGCCTCGGAGTGCCAGACTGACTGCCAGGGCTCACACCTGTGGTACACGGGCTCTTTTTGGTGTGACCTTTTTCGTCTTTCTAAACTAGTGCTCCACTGTTGAGCTACATCCCTAGTCTTGACACGACCTCTCTGGAAGTCACCTCCCCAGAGGCACCGGCTACTAACTGGCTCTTCCACCTGCAGACTCTCGTTCCAACATACCTTTGCCACTGGCCAGCTCTGCGGCCTCCTGCAGGCAGGGAACAGTGGGGCTCTTCTCATCGGTGTCCGGAGCTGCACTCTCCCACTGCAGCGGCACCCTGGCCGGCACTGCCTTGATGCTCTTGATGCGGAGGCTGTACTGGCGGGCCAGCTGGTAGACTTTGTTCTTGACACACTCACTCACCTGGCTGTCCATCACGTGTGACAGCTGCATGATGCGGGGGTGCAGCGGGGTCACCAGCTCCCCCTGGACCCCGCTGCTCAGCTCCTTCACCAGCTCTTTCAGCTCATGGGCCAAATGGGCCCGGCTGGGTGGCTCAGTGGGCGAGGCGCTTTCCGGGGAGGCAGTGGCCGACTCCTCGGTGATGGCCCCCAGCTCATGCTCCTCCAGGATGAAGAGCGGCTCCTGGAGATCAAAGCCACTGGTCTGACCCTGGCCTGGTCCCAGCTGGGGGCTTCGCTCAGCAGACTCCATTCTCTCCCACATCTTCACAACTTCCGACGACGGACGGAACTCAGCATCTGTGACAGGAGCCGGGTCCTCTGTGCGTGCCTGGCTGGGTCCTGGGAGGTCAAACAAGGTCCACGGTGCCACTCGGGAATCCCCCTGTCTCTTGTACCCCACCGGAGCTGCCGGCTTCAGGTCTGGCCCCGGAAGGCTGTTGATCCTGGAGACGGAGTTCCTCACCAGCCCTTTGGGGATGTAGGAGAGACTCTCCCGGCGCCGCACACTGAAGCCTGCATCGTGATGCTCTGCATTCTCATAGTAGCTCTTAATTTTATCCAGCAACAGCCGATCTCGGGTGGAGAGTGCTGAGTCCTTCTTGCAGGAAGACCTGCTGGACTCCACTGGGCAACCCGCGTTTGGGGACTCTGTCCTGTTGGCAGAAGGGCCATTCTCTATGGCCACCCCCGTGCTGACACCCACTTCCAGGGCAGGCTGGGAGTCGAGTGAGTCCGCTGCGCTGCCCCACTGGGCCAGGCCCTTCTCACTGCCCTCCAGACTGAGCACACTGCTGCTCCGGCTGACCAGCCGTGGCATCCCAAAGCCACTGGACTTGCCACCGCCATCCTCCAGGGTCAGGCTGCTGCGCCGAGAGAAGCTGCTGGCAAACCGCTCAGCAATGACACTGGCCTGGTCTAGCACAGAGGGTGGCAAGAGGCTCTCGGAGTCCTGGGCTGCTCCCATCTCTTCCTCCTCCTCCTCACTGCTCAGGGTCTTAAGATCTTCGGTGCTCTCGGCCACCACGAAGCCCTCCATGTCCACTGGGAGTTCCATCCCCAACAGCTCCTGCTGGGTGTCAAGTCCTGTTTCCAGGACTTCGGCTAACTCTGTGTCTGAAGGCATCTCCTCAGTGTTAGGACCTTCTGTAACAGCAAAGACCTCCTGCTCAGCCACAGGACCAGGACCTGCTTCAGCCTAGATACAGCAGAGAGAGCTTACGTGAGTAAAAGCCTCCTTCACGAGGCCCAGGGAAGAGGAAGGCACAGCTGGCTCACAGCCCAAGGAGAAGGACTCCACTTTAGAACCAAAGGCAAGCAAGACAAGTGACTCAAAAGTAAGGCGACAGGTCCTGAGGGAGAAGAAAATGCTAGTGTCCTTAGGTCACCCTGCATCTGGGATGCTGAGCCCATGACCTCCTACCCAAGGAAAACACTAGGAACACAGAAGGACGTGTGCTTCCTCTCGGTGGAAGGCTGCCTGGGAACCATCAGCTCATGGGCGCATACAACACCAGGCCTGGAGCTGTCCCAGTTCCCAGAGAATGGCTCTCACAAGCACGTCCAGAGCCATGGCACTGGGATGCCCCTGCCTGATGGCAAGGCAGCTCCTGAAAGCCCTAGACGCTGCCCACTCTGGGTCCTGGGGTGCAAACCCAGGCCGTGCTTCCTGAGAGGGTGACACAACTTCCACAAGGGACCAGGGCCTTTGTGTGGGAGCAAGGTCCAAAGGGCAACACAGTATGTGCTGTTGCCATCAGAAGTCAGGACAGAAAAACCAGCTCCAGCCAGCCAGCCTCGCCATCCGAACACCCCACAGATGGCAAGGGAGGAAGCACATTTGAGAATTTCCTCCTGACCACCTCAAAGGTAATTTGAGCCCTTCATTTGGCTAGCGCAGCTTTCCAGATAGGTGTTTAGGGAAAAGAGTGAACACACTAAATTCTGAGGAATCAGACCTAATTCCATGAGTTCTAGTCCAAAATCTGCAGTGCAGAAACATGAGCTAGGCCTGCAGCATCCAAAACAGTAGCTACCAGCCACATCTGGCGTTCTGAGCAACTCAAACATAGCCAGTTCAAATCAAGGCCTGCCGAAAGAGTAGAATACACATCAGATCAAGAAGACTTTGTATAAAAGGAGGGATAAAATATCAGTAAATTTTATACTGATTACATGCTAATATTTTGGACCTACTGGATTAAATAAACTGTACTATTAGAATTAATTTCACCTGTTTCTTTTTCTTTTTTTGGTACCAGGGATCGAACTCAGGACCTTGCACTTGCAAGGCAGGCGGTGGAACCACTGAGCTAAAGTCCCAGCTCACCTGTTTCTTTTTAATTAATTTTTTTTAAACATGGCTACCAGAAAATTTGTATTATACATGGGGTTTCCATTCTGCTATTATGGTACAGCACCACTTGCTATGCTCTGAATGGTATCCCCCCAAAATTCATGTTAGAACCTAATACCAGTGTGACAGGGCTAAGCAGAGGAGCCCCTGGGGAAGTGATTTAAGTAAAAAAGGCTTCACCTTCACAAATGGGATTAGTGCCTTATAAAAAAAGCATGGCTGGTACCTTAATTTTGGACTTCTCAGCTTCCAGAACTATGAGCAATATATAAGCATGCAGTCTCAGATAGAGCAGTCCCAACAGACTAGAATACCCCACTGTATTCCTACCCAGTGTCATTTAGATTCTCAGACTTGTCGTGCCTGGAACACCCACCCTAGGGTCTGGCCTTTTCCTTGTAATTTGGGAAAAGCAAAAGACTCAAATCCAAGCATCCTACAGATACAATGGAGCAGAAGGAAGAGGAGAGGGGGCCTCTGAGTCAGAGAGCCAGGTCTGATGTTAACTATGTCCTCAGTGAATGCCAGGACCACCACTCAACCTCTCAGAGCCTCTTTTTCCTTCCCGAGATGTTGCAGGGAGCAGAAGAAAGAGATAAAATATTAGATATACAGGAGGTGTTCAGTGGATAGTGACACCCTCCCGCTTTGACAGGTGGCTGCAGGCATGACTTAAAAGTCTGGCCGGCTGGCAGAGGTGGGGCCCTGTGCCCTGTCCAAGGCAGCCTGGCTGAGGGGCATAAAACCTGGTTTACTTCCACTAGCTGTGCCCCTTGGCATGGGCCTTCATCTGGCCCAAGGAAGGAATGCCTTCTTCTAATTCGAGGAAAGGAGATATATACGCACTAAACTACACACCCCTAGGCTGCAAAAGCTCCCCAAAGGGGCAAGAGTCGTGGTGGTAGGGAACTCCTGTTCTCAGAGGGACAGCCTGGCCTGAGAGAGCTGCCTACAGTCCTGGACAGCAGGCTCCAGCTGCCCCTGCACTAACTCCATCCCACCTGCCAGCCACTCACCTCTGGCAGGGAGGAGACAGACTCGAAGCTCATGCACTTCTCAGCACTGGTTGGAGATTGGTTGCTGCACCTTCTGTGGCTCTTGGAGCCTTCAGACTCCCGGCGCCCCTTCCCCTGCAGCAAGGAGAGGGCAGCTGTCAACTCCAGGACCATCAGGAGCTGGCCTCTTCTGCATCTCAACATGGGTAGCACCTCCTGAACCCAAGGTCTGCGCTGAGCCAGCCCTGGACCCAAGCCCTTCCAATGCAAGCTGAATGGCCAGCCTGGCTTGCAGGAATCCTCGCAGTGTGAGAAGCCCAGCCTGCCTCCCTTCCGGCCCAGCAGACAAGCTCCCTCCTAGCCCCACTGGTTCTGCCCCACTTGTCCTCCTCAGGGGTGGTGTACTCATTAGTGCCCAGCCCTTGGAGAGTGCATGCCAGGGGCTCACCAGGGCATGACAGTGAGTGAGAGGTTAAGAGGTGCCGGCAGGAGTGAAGGAGCAGGCAGCGGGGACAGGAGGGACTCTCAGATGGGCATGCACAGGCCAGGGAACATGCGAGGAGGAGGGGAGATCAAAGAGACACCTCACCATAGCACCCCGGGAGAACAGTAAAGCGTTGGCCCGATAGTGCCAGCAGTGCAGGGCGGCCAGCAGGGAGCTGGCAAAGTCAGCTACCTGCTCTGCCACTGCCAGACTCTCTTCTACCACCTCCTCCTCCTCCTCCTCCTCCGAGCCTAGGGGCTCTGGCCTGGCTCCCTTCTTGCTGCTTTCATGCCCCGCCAGGTCCTCCAGAGAGACCGGAAAGGCCTGCTCCTCCTCCTCCTCTTCTTCCTCTTCTTCCTCCACCACCTCCTCCTCTTCTTCCTCCTCTCCAGCAGCTCCCTCAGCCTCAGGCTGCAGGTCCCACGTCTGGGGTGGCCGCCCCAAGTCCAGGAGGGCACCAGCACTGCCTGCATGCTGTTCAGAGCACAAGACACCCTTGTGACCCACCGAGTGGGCCACCTCCCCTCTTCCTGCAGGCAGCCAGGGAGGGGAGGCCGTGCACAAAGGCCACACCTAGGCTCCCAGCCGGGTCCTCCCCTGGGGCCTAGCGAGGAGTGGGGCATTTTGTGGGGGGAAGGCTGGGTCCTGGTCAGGAGCACAGGCCCAGGAGTGGGAAAACGAGAAGGGAACTCAGGTACCGCACCAGGAAGAGGGAAGAGAAGGGTCCCACGGTGAGGGCCATGACTTATGCCTCTCCGCAACCCCCCATCACGGCCTGCACACGTAAGCGTGGACCGGTCTGTGCGGAGTGACCGAAGACAAGGGGCGCGGAGGGCTGGGGGCCAGACATGGCGCCCCCTCCTCAGGGCAGCTCTGTGACCCCTCCATACCTTCATTCCTGCTGCTCTGGCTGCTGACACCACCACTGGGTCCCCGGCACATGGATGAGGGGCAGGGAAGGGAAGGAGACCAGTAAGCAGGAGAAGCCGCTCTAGAGGCCCGAGAAGCCTCACTGGGGGCTCCTCCTCCCAGCCGCAGGCTTTCAGCTCAGGGCATCCAGGATGTCCCCAGGAAAGGGGGCAAGCCATGTGTGTGTGCGGGGGGCAGGCTCGGCTCCCTCTGTAGAGGGGGTAAGGCCCTCTCCAAGGGCCTCTAACCTGTTCTCCACTCCCCACCGCCGAGCTTCTACCTGCTCACCCCTCTGACCCCTTAGAGCCCCCGGGAACGGCCACCCACACCCCTCACACGCTCACCCTTGTCGCCGAGTTGCCTGAGCAGGTGCCTGGCTGGCTCTGAGGAGGAACAAACACAGGCAGAGTTGAGCATGGGCCAGGAACAGTGACACCTGGCCTGAGTCCCAGGCCCACAGCACCGCTGACCCGTTACCAGTTCAAGGTCCACTCCGGCTCGCCCACTGCTGAGCCCAAGCCTGCAGCCCACTGTCCCCGTCCCTGCATTATAGCACATGTGCCACAGCACCCCGAGTTCCAGAGCCTCGGGGAGAGATGGCTCCATGCTGCCCCTTCAGAGCAGCCTGCCCGGTCTCTCCATCAAGCCCCTTTGCCTCCCTTGCAAGGAGCACATCAGCGCATTGGCTAACCCTCCCCTGGCCCCTCACAGCACCCCAGCTGGAAAGCAGGTCACACCCGACTTCCTACGACCCCTAAGGCCCAGCATCACGAGGCCGCGCTGCCTGCTGGGAGTGTTGCCCGACTGGACAGGGGACGACCTGGCTCTGGGGACAGAACCCGGAACAGCCATTAGGCTGTACCCAGCCTTTCCGGAGACAGGACTGAGACACGGAGGCAGAGATAAGAGGACCTTATGTCGAGAGCTTAGCCTGCGCCTGCCACAGTCTTACGGGCCTGGTCACGACTGTCTACGAAAGCAGAGGCAGAGGGAGGTCCACCAACGCCTGTCTGCGTGTATCCCAGGAGATAAGGCGCTCTTCAGTCTGCCCCCTGCCAAGGATCAGCTCAGACACACAGACACACACACGCGCACCGTACACCTTCTCTCTGCATCAATATGAGCAAACACCTAATTGTTTCTAAAGTGGAGAGCAAGATGTTCTATTCTTTCACTTAAAAACATGTAATTAAGGATATTTAATAAGTCACAACTCATTTAAAATGGAACGGCCCCTAGGCGTCCAATAGCACACTTGTCTGCCCGGTGGAATCCTCTGGAAGCAGCAGCAGAAAAGACCGTGGACGGCAGGGCCGATGCTCGGCCTCCCTCACCGCCCTTCTTCCGTGCGCTTCCATTTCATCAGCTGATTTCTAACACGGAGGAGGAGGGAGGAGGGACGCCGCGCCGGGGCAGGCACGCTGAACTCAGAGGGGCGACAGCAGCAGACAGACACCTCAGACGCTGCAGCGTCTCTGCGGCAGCCCAGCCCAGCCCCCTGCTACTTCTGGTCCCCTGCAGCAGTTCACACACCGCCAGGCATGCTGTGGCAAGGGCTCTAGAGATGAAAAGGCTCGACTGCGGCCCGCACCCTCTACTCTGAGATGAAACGTGCTGCAGAAACCTGTCTGCTTCGTGACAGGTAACCCTAAAACAGGAAAAGAAGCTCATAAACCTCAAAAACCCAACTCTTAGTTTTCACAGGCTCAAACCTCAGCCCTGTCAAAAATTTCAGCTCAGGGCTGGGGATTTAGCTCAGTGGTTCCGCCGCCTGCCTCATAAGCGCAAGGACCTGAGTTCAATCCCCAGTACCAAAATAAAAATTTTTTTTCAGTTCTGTAAAACAGCTCATTTCTTGAGTGCCTTGAATACCCAAACATTTTTAAACAACTTTGCTGAGGTTTAATTCTCCTACCATACCATACATTTCACTCATTTAAAATGTACAGTTCAGTTAGTGGCTTTAAGCATATGCAGAGTTACACATTGCTGAGGTCCCGGCAGTGTAACTGTTACCACCACCACCACCATCACCACCATCATCATCACTTGAGCACTTTCATGTGCCAAAGGCTTCAATGCTAAGCACTGGCAAGTTAAGGGTGAACGGCAAAGGGAAAGGAAGAGAAATTGAGGGAGCCACAAGTCAGTAAAACAACACCCCCAAGTTAGGGTTTTTTTTGTTTTAGTTTTTGTAACTCGGGCTGGCCTCGAACTTGTGGCAATCCTCCTGCCTCAGCCTCCTAAATGCTGGAATCACAGTACTGCACTACCATGCCCAGCTTCAATTTGGGGCTTTTAACCATAAAACTTTTTTTTTTCTTTTTATTGAGTTTATTGGTACAATCTAGGTATACAATACAATTATATTTGTCATTGGGATTCTGTACCTTTACATAATAGGTCTTGAATCTCATTTTTTTCCCCTTGTCCCTGCCCTCCCTTCACCTCCTCCTCCCCTCCCCATTTACAAACTTTATTTCCATTTTTTCAGTTTTCGTATTTTTTTTCCTCTCCCTTATTACCTTTCCCCCACCCTTCCCACTTTCCCTACACCTTTAGCCCTTTACTTTCTATTTCACATTATTAATTATCTCATTATTAACCATAAAACTTTTGTAACCATGTCAGGTTTGACCGAGGTTCAAGATCCATCTTGAGTAGTACCAGACAACACGGAAACACCAAAGCTGTCTAGAGATACCCGGCTCCACCTTTTTGAAGACTGAAGCCGGTATGTCAGCCCACATGGTGTTCAAGGAACCTAAGGGACATGGCCCGTCAAAACCCAATGCACTTGTGGGTCCAAGCCAAGACACTGTGACCAGTCCTTCTAAAAATCTTTCTCTCCGGGTGACAGCAAGATAGATGATGGTTCTCACACCACCCTACCTGCTCCTAGCTTAACCCAGATCTGTCCCTGAGACTTCGACAGAATGGCAGAGTAAAAACAGATGTAGAAAATATACACTCTCATCAAGGCAGAACCAAGAATAAAGGCAAGGTTTTCTCCCTCTAAATAGATGATTCACTCCAATAAATCTAAGAACACATTAGCAAGTCCAGTAATGGAAGAAAACCCAGGAGAGGAAAATAGAACTTCGTCCTGAGACCCAAAGTAAATATTTCCTGTCTGGATCTGGTGCCACTTGGACTAACTCATTTTCCTCACTTCCTGCTTCTGCTCTGTTGGTCCAGAACTGGGACGGAACCATCCACGATGGCCAAGTGTTAGTCCTGGCCTAATTGGTACATATTCTGAGTGCCAAAGAAGGGAGGCTCACTCGGAGGGGGAGCCAAGAGGAGATGCCAAGACCTAGGGCACAGAGAGGCTGGCTGCCCATGCTGGTGGACAAGGAGGCCCAGAGAGGGGCCAGGGATTTAGCTCCGTGGTGCCGCCACCTGCCTTGCAAGTGCAAGGTCCTGAGTTTGATCCCAGATACCAAAAATAAGGTCCAGAGGAACATGAGCAAGAAAGGGTGCTGTGGGCATCCACTGGCCCTGTCCCACTTCCCTGGGCTTACGAGAGATAAGAACAGCAAATCCAGGTGAGGACCCGTGGCCCCCACCCGATCTGGGGTCCTCCGAGGAGGCTGTTGCCCACACAGCCGTTCTCTTACCAGACTGCCGGCGCCCCTGGCGTGCACGAGTAGAAACCTCGTCCTGGGCTGACCATCCCCTCTTCAGCCTCTCTGGGCTGCGGCGATACCGACTGGGATCTGCACCCAGGAGAGGGCTGATCAGGTTACTGATTCCCCAGGGGCCTCGGCCTAGCCCCTGTCCGTACCCAGCCACCCCTCTGCCACCCACCGCAGCTCCAGGGGCCAGATGCCTCCAGAGCTCCCGCCATCTTCTCCTTCTTCCACGTGGGGGCTCCAGGCACTGTGAAACCCGTCCCTCAGCAGGACTGACCCCCAGCTCCTTCTCTTGAAGTAAAAGTCCCAGGCAAAGCTGGACCTGGGTACAGCCTGACCTAGCCATGTGCACAAGTAGGGACAAACCAGGCAGAAAAGGGTGACTTACAATAGGAGTCCATTTCCAAGATGGCTTCCTTGGCCTGGAAGGGAAGGGCACCGGGTTACCGCTTTGCCGCATACCGGGCCTCTCTCACCCACTAGGACACCCCACAGCCCCATGCCCAGGCCTTGTACTGCTGTGCTAATGCCACTGTCCAGCCAGAGCCAGTGTCCAGGAGGTGGGGCCTCAGTGGACCTTGGAGGAACACTTTCTCCCTGCGTCCATCGGGCACCCCAGGAGCTGACCTTCTGGGGAATGGTGGCGTGATGGTTCTCCAGAATGAGCCTCTTGATGTGGTGAGTCCAGCTCCGTTTCTCCTCCACTGTCTTGGCCTGGGCGGGCCCAAGGGAAGGGACCTGGAGTTACCATTACAGGCCCGAAGATGTCCAGCACAGGCAGCACTTCCGCCCGGGGAGAAGAGGTGGGAAGAGGCACCATGCCGGGCATCTGTGAGGTCGCCTTAACTCCCCACCACAACCCCAAGGGGTGCTGAAACGGTCCCCACATTAGAGATGGAACAATGGTCTGTGGGCAGCGGGGTAAGTCCAGGAGCCAGGAACCAAAGGCAGGCAGCCTGCTGCCCCTCACCTGGATGTTGTACTGCTGTTTGTTGTGCTTATAGTGAGTGACGGTAAAGCAGAGGGAGTCTCTGGTGCTTTCGATCAGCATCAACGAGGAGCACTGCGGACAGAGGTAGAGGGCAGTGAGGCAGGAGGGAGGAGGGAAGAGTTCTGGGCCCTGACAGGCTCAGGATCAGGATGGCGCCGGAGTCCCAGGAAACAGACGTGGAGCAGAGAGACCCACGCCCCAGCAGGCAGGAGCCAGGGAGCCTGGTTACCGGGATGTGACCCTTGTAGACAAAGTGATCTCCCCGCTTCTTGGTGATGAGTAGTGTTCTGTCCAAGAGGAAGAAAGTCCTCTCGTTACGCACACGGTGCACGCGGAAGGTACCCTCCAGGACAAGCTCCCCATAGATGGTCAGGTCAGGTCCCTTCCAGTTGATGAGCAGAGACTGAATCTCCTGTAGGAGAAAGGCCCAGCCCGCAGGGTCAGGCCTCATGGGCCTTGAGGCTCCCCAGAAGGCTCCACGTTCCCTCTCCCAGCCCCACATGGCTCCCCGTCTCCCCCAGCCGCTCAGCCCAGAGCACCTGGAGCCGGACCGCATGCTCATGCCGCCTCTTCATGTCATTGATGTACCAGGCCACACAGGTCATGGTATCGATGGCCTCCTCCACCACCTCAAAGCCATCCTCTTCTTTATCAAAGTGTTTGGCAATTTCCTGTGCAGGAGACAGAGGTCCAGGCAACCCTGTGAGGCCCTGGCTTCCCTCGGGCCCTGTACCCTCTGGAGGACACCAGGGCTACCTGGAGCAGCAGGTGGTACTTGAGGATGCGCTGGACGGGCTTCAGCAGGTAGGAGCCTAAGGGCAGTGAGTGCCGCAGCAGTTCCTGCCGGTCCCGGAAGAACTTGGCCTGCTGCTTGTCCCGCATACATTCTGTCAGCGCGGCCACTGAGCTGGGAGTGGGAGAAGGGGCGTCACTGCCCAGGGCAGCCTGGGGAGGAGGAAGGGGCCCGGACTCCCCAGGCGGCTCAGCCTCCCTCCTCTCAACGCCTCTAGCTACTCACTTGGGGTAGTTGTTGCAATACTGAGTGTAGATATCAAACTCTTGGCTCTAAGGAGAAACCAAAAATAGTGACTATAAATCTGGGAGGAGTAAAGACAGGCCTCAGTCCCATTCCCCAAGTGCTGACAGAACTACCTTCGTAGCCAGTGTTTTAGGACAGTGGTGGTGAACCTACAGTGGTGAACTTCTGAAAGGCTTGCCATCAATGGTCTAGGGCATCCCATCTACTAGCAACCCGACCCTGCCCCAGCACAGCCTCCGTTCACGGTGCCGTGCCCTGTCCCCAGTAAGGGTCCCCAGACACTCATGTGCTCCTATGTTGGCTGTTCCAGTCCCTCTGAGCTCCCAGCAAGACAGGGCAAGAGGCAAGGACCCAGGTCTTCTTACCCTTTCCACGAAGCAGCTGGCCACAGCCACAGGGTCACTGTTGCAGCTATCCAGGTCTCTGAGCAGCTGGCTGGGTAGAGAGAGGCCATCAGGTGTGACCTCTGCAGCCTCCTGACGGAGACACGCCACTGCCCCACCTCCTGAGACCCAGTCCCCCAGCCCTGCCGTCACGCTAGGAGCCGGGGCTTCCACCCTCTGAGGGAGCCCTGCCCCAGGCAGCGACCACAGGAAGGATACAGCACACCACAAAGACAGGAAGCCAGGGAGCCCCATGTGCTCGGCAAGCAGGAAGAAGGGGACACTAGTACCCACCTCAGAACGGGACAGCTCCTCTGCGAGCAGGGTCGAACACATAAAAGCAGAGATGAAAGGTGGAAGAAGAGAAGGGACTAACAAAGAGGAGCACCAGGTGGGAAAGAGGAAGGATGCAGGGAGAGAGAGGGTGAGCTCCAATACCCCTGATCTTAGACGGGGGCACTGCGGGGAACCCCAGAAACAGCACTCCCCAGCCTCCTCCATCTGCGCCTCTCCCACTCCATTCCCCCATCCCCAGCCTGCCCTCCTGAGCTTTCCCCAGGCTCACAGGTCCCTCTGTCTGAAGGGACCTGAGGAAAGGCTCTCCCGTCCTGTCCTGTTGACGCTGCTCCCTCTGACCAGTGCCTTTCCCTGAAGTCTGCAGTCCCACAAGCAGCAGACGTGAACAGCTCCTCGCCAGGCCGAGGTCAGCCTCTCCCACCTGGCCTGTGCACTCCACTAGTGGGCAAATCCTGTCCAGGGAGTCCCACTTCTCTCAGGGTAAGAAATTACAAGATGTGCAGATGGGGACCAAAAAGGAGGAGGACAGAGGAGAGCACCCATGTAAGAGAGTCCAGCAGTGCCCATAGAGGGCTCTGCCTTAGGCCGGACTCAATACACACGCCCTCAAATTATCTCTCCAGCCTCTAGAAACTACGTCAGCCCAGGGTACATTTCCCAGCTGCTGCCTCCTCTCCAGCACAGAGCTAATTATGCCCTTTTTCAGAAACAGACCACCCTTTCCCATCCTCAGAGATCAAGATGCAGACCCACACGTCAAAGCCCAGAGTCCAGGGACACCCAGGGCTCCTCCCTGGGCCGGCCCTGAGGGGCCCGGGCAGCAGAACACAGTGCGGGGTAGGCCTGTGCACTCCCATACCTGTTCAGTGCATAGATGCTCTCTATGTTCCCAAACAGGGCGCTCACTTGTTCTGGCTTCAGCAGCCCAGGTGTCTCGATGATCTTCAGGAGGTAGTCCTGCCCGGACAGAGGCACTCAGCGCCTGGCCCACCCAGTCTCCATCCTGTCCCCTCACCTCCCCTAGCCATGTGTGACTCTGTCCCGCATTTCACAGCAGTGATGCAATTTCACAGGCAGCACCCATTGTACCAGGCTAGAAAGCGCCCACCCCGAAATTCATGTCCGCTTGGCACCTCAATATGAGACCTCGTGTGGAAGTCGGGGCCTCGCAGGTGTCATTAGTCAAGACTTTCAGAATGATACCACATAATATTTAGAGTGAACTCTAAATCCAATGACTGGTGTCCATATAAAAGGAGAGGACACAGAGACACAAGAAAGACAGTGGGACGAGATGAGGGGTCACCAGAATCTAGGGGATAGGCATTCTCCCCTGGGGCTCCACGCCAATGCCTTGAGCCGACTTTCGATTCCCAAGTGAGAACTGTTTCTGCTGTTCCAAGCTACCTGGCTGGTACTAAGTTGGTGCGTTGTCACCAGAGAGGCCGCAGGCTCCTCAGAGGCGGCCACACAAGCCCTTTTCCTGTGCACCCTGAACAGCGTAAAGCCCTACACCAGCCCCGAGAGTCGACTGTGTCCTCGCTTTGCAGACAAGAGACCTGAGGCTTAGGAGGTTATGTGCCTGCTTGAGAACCACAGCCAGGAAGTGGCAGAGCAGAGCCCAGGCTCGGTCCCTGCAGGGCACCTCTGTCAGGCTAGGGCCCCTCCTGCCCCCATCAGGGTGCTTACCAGTGTGGCTAGGTGTCTCCAGGATGCAGAAGTCACAGCCTCTAGGGACAGAATCCCAAGATCTTCCCACTGCTCCGAGGGAAGCAGATGTGTCAGGAAGAACTCTCTTCCCCCGCCTCAGCACTCACCTCCACAATGCTGCACAGGTCCTGCACATACATGCGCTCGGTTTCCACGATCTCCCGCACCACTCGGCCCAGGTAGCTGAGCTTGTGGTGCGAAGGCCCCACCCCCCGGCTGCCGTGTGGGGAGAGGGGACCCTTTGCTCTCAGCCGGCCGCTGGCACTGTTGTTGCTGTTAGGGCCGTGCCCGTTCTGGGCCGAAGCCTCGGGGCCAGTGGGCTCCTCCATGGCGCTGCGGCTGTCACGGGAGGAGCCAGACGAAGAGGTGGTAGACGTCAGGCTCACTGGTCGCTCCTGGCTGCCATCTTGGCGGAGGGTGGCAGAGACAGGCATCCTGACATCGCTGCCTGGGGAAGGCACCTCGGGGAGATTCTGGAACAAAACAGACGGACAGAGAGACTCAACCTCTGAGCATCCACAGAATCCGGAAGCGGAAAGGAGACTGCCAGAGCTGGGACAGCACAGTGGGAAGCACAGGACAGCACAGTGGGAAGCTATTGTCAGCAGGAGAGGAGTGACGATGGTGGTGATAGCTGTGCATCGGTGTGAACGCACTTATTATTGAAATGTACTCTTAAAAATGGTTTACAATCGTCCCGGTGTGGTGGCTCTTGCCTGTAATCCCAGCACTCAGAAGGCTGAGGCAGGGAGATGGTCACAAGTTCGAGGCCAGCCTGGGCTACACAGTGAGACTCTGTCTCAAAAAAAAAGGTTTAAGAGGATAAGTTTCAAGTTCCGTGGATTTTACCACAATTAAAAGAAAACTGAATGTAGGGAGGAGGATCATTCCCTCAGACTCTGAGGGCTGGCAAGGGTGCCCAGCACGTCCTTCCCGATTCTAGCAGCGCCACCCCCACCCTCGAGTGGAGAAAGAGCAGCCCATCTTTAAGATGAGGAGATTCAGCATATCCCAGGGCTGTTGTCCCCAAGGACAAAGTGACCTGACACCCCCAGGGCTCTGAGCATGGTGCACCACACAGAAAAGCCTCCACAGACCCCAATACAGCAATGACACTGACAGACATCCGAAGGCTCACCCCAAGCTCGTGGCCGTTAGGGCCAGGGCTAGGGTCACGGTACAGGGACCGGTAGGTCATCTTCTCCTCAGGATTGCAGCATCTCAGGGCACTGGCGACTTCACGTGCACCCAGAACCTTCAGGGTGCTGATGGGGAAGAGGGAGAAGACGGTGGCAAGATGGAGCCAACCTCACGCCACTCCCCCTGGCCCTGGTACAGGCAGACCTCTGACGTAGCCGGGCCAGGAAATTCCTCAGAGGTGAGCCAACGCTGAGTCTCCCCGAGCTCTCTCAGTACAGCTGGGTCAGAGCAGCCCAGAAGGCAGGAAACTGCACCCAGGTGAGGCTAACAGAGCCCCAGGTGGACTTTATTCCCAGAGCAGATGGCACGGCCCACCTGGGGCAGCGAGGGGGAAGGGACAGCGGCCAGAGTCTACACAGGCTGTGCCCTATGGGAAAGACAGAACACCTTGCACCTACCGCATAGGACCAGAGCTCACCAGCACCACTTTCTAGAAAGCTCATCTGATTGCTATTTCCAAGAGGGTTGCGGGGAGTTTCTGGGCAACCCTCTCACTTCTGCTGACCCAAGGCTTCTAACCCCAGGCCAGAACTAAAAAGCAGACACACCTCAGACACAGCCAGGAGCTGAGACTCGAGGCCCTTGATGCCACTCCCTACTTCTCTTGCCTCTGCCCCCAGCTGGGAGCTAGCACTTTTGGTTTTAGAAAATACTGTTCTCTCTGCTTGGGCATTATTTGCTGTCCACCCTCCCTGTGTCCCTCACCCCAACCTGCAGGTCTGATTGGAAGCTACCTCCCCAGGAGCCTTGCCATATTCCCCAAACCTGGGGCCCTGCTGTGGACCCTCCTACAGCCCCCCAGGCCCCTCTTTGGGCAGCACTCCCTGTGTGCCACCGAGCCTAGTCTGAGACCCTCTGCCCTGGCCCATCCGTTACTGAAAGGCAGACGGAGGTCATAGGGCTGATTTGGCAAATACCACGGAGGTCAAACGGATGCTTCTGCTGAGCTGAAAGCCTGGCGTGTCGAGACCTGCTCGCCATCCACCACTAACCCAGCCAGAACTTTCCCAGCCCTGTCACTGTGTCTCCACCACAAAGCGGAGGTTTACCAAGCAGAGAAACCTCCCTCCTCGACCAGGCTTCCTTCCTCTACATTTAAGCACAGGCCTCTCCACAGGTGGGGCAAGGCAGCACCGTCCACACCTCTGCTCTCACGGACCCTGTGGCCCAACCCACCTGGGTCCACAAATTCTTAAAAGCAGTTAAACCCCTAGTCCCCCTGCCCCATCAGTCCCTGCTGGGACTGATGGGGCAGGGACTTGTGGCCTAAGACCTTTCCCAGATTAGCCTGGGGTCAGTCAGTCAGCTCCTCAGGGAAGCTAAATGGAAAGGGCCCAAGTTCCAAATGGATTTTGCAGCCAGCCAGGTCACAGCCTGAAAGCAAAGGATTAATCAAGCTCCACCCTACCGAGCACACATCCAGAGATCACACATCCAGAGATTGTTCTCTAAAGGGTACCTCCTGGGGCTGGTTCTTTGGAGACCCCACTGCCTGTTGGAAAAGTTTTTTTCTGGTAAAAAAACACTTGCCCGCCTGCAAGCCCAGCTTTCCTTTCCAAAGTGGAGACCATGCCTTCATCTTCCTGGGGCCGAAACATAGAGAGCAGTCCCTGGGCTACGTTCCCATCTCAGTGCACAGGTAAGTCTCCGCTCCCAACAATCTGCGCTGTGGCACTGTCTGGACCTCACCACACAGACGCAGAACCGAGTCTGCAGATAGAAACTGGTAGGGTCTGGACTAGAATAAGGCTCCAGAATCCACGCATTCCAGCCACCATCTCCTTAATAATGGATTTCACACTATTGAGGGCCATCAGCAAAGGATTAGTCACGGCTTTGGATGAGCATAAGCCATGGGGGGAGGACTGGAAAGACTGGGTCATAATATGACACTCCATAGACTGAGATGGCTCTTTCTGGACCTGATGCTCCACGGTCGCTCTCCCCCCACATTACAAGATAAAAATACAGATTATAGATCAAAGGATCACAGGCACCGGGAAAGCAGAAAGGAGGGTTGAGCCAGGCAAGGGGGCACACACCTATAATCCCAGCACTCAGGAGACTGAGGCAGGAGGATGGCTGCAAGGCCAGCCTGGACCACACAGGGAACTGAAGGCCAGCGTGAACTACATAGCAAGGCCTTATGTTTTGTGGGGGCAGGTTAAAAGGTTCCCAGGATAACACTGTAAATTTCTCAAATGGTCAAAGAAGCCCTGTAGTGACTCAGAGACCCACCCATGACCATGAGGACCTCTCTCCTAGGCAGGAGGACTCGGGGCCAAGAAAAGGAAGGGCTGAAGGAAAAACAGGGCAGAGTCCAGCACAGCAGATCCAAGTGCAGACGGTTAGGAAAGGCACTGGACAGTGATGGAACACGGACTACTACTGCATTTGAATGCTGCTGGGGGAGTGATTGCTGAGTGCTGCTGAGGATTGAGCCCAGGCCACATCCAGAGATTGTTCTCTAAAGGGTACCTCCTGGGGCTGGTTCTTTGGGGACAAACACTCCTCCGCTGTGGCTGCCCAGCCCTACCCTCCCACTGTGTCTGAGCAAGTTCTGGCCACGCAAGGCCAATCTGAACCACTGCTGTGTGTACAGCTCAGCCTCTCAGCCACAAGCGGCCCTCACATGCTCCCTGGCCGGGGGCAATCTTCCTTCCTACTTGATAAGCACCGCCCTATTGTAAGATTCACCCCCAAACCAGGGGGACAATCTGGTTCCTCAAACTCATGGGGGTGGAGGGGTGAGGCAGGCAGCAGCCACACGGAAGCCTACGCCCACCCCTTCCCCAGGGTCCGCTCCAGGACCTCTTCCCTCTTTCAGCATTAGTCAGTTCGTGCCATTATCAGTCCATGAATCATCGGTCTCTAGAAAATCGACATCTCACATCCCACACTGTGAAGCCCTCTTGGACAGGGCTCCCAAAGATCCTTTTTTTTTTTTTTTTTTTTTTTTTTT